GTGGAGGAGATGCCAGTGACATCTCTGCTTTTCTGAGGTTATGCTCCAGCTAAACTAATTTCCACTTTGCCAAAGTGGCAAGTTCTTATGAAGCCCTGGATCAACGTGGCTGAAGGTAGTCTGACCCACTTCTGCTGAACTGGAACTGATTCAGTGAAAACAGGTCAGGCCACTACAAGCTGCCCCAAGCCCTGCATGAGTGCCAGCTCCCAGCCACCTTAGCATTCCAGCTGAATCCGTTTGAACATGAGTCCTCAAAGCAGACTGACACACAAGTAAGGCTGAGCCAGGCATTGCGATGAAGGAGAGTGGAAGAGAAAACCAACATTTAGAAAAAGTAGTTTTGGGAAGTGGTTGAAACTGACACTAAACAAGAAATTAGAAGTTAAACCAGCAGGTAGGTTTTCTACTCACTGGCCTTAGGGTGTAGCTCAGGATAGTCCTTGGAAAGACCTATGAATATAAGAAAGGAGATGTAGAGCCAGCCTAGTTTGTGCTTTAAATGACGTCGTAGAGACGTGGAGAGGTTCAGGCTGTGGCTAAGCATATTCAAAGAAGTCTTTTGCTAGCCCAAAGTAATGTGCAGTGAAGTTTGGCAGGTGGGATTAAAATATGCCCTTGCCAAACATTTGCTTTGAATATTGGCTGAATAATAGGTCCATTGAGTTGTTCATATTGTTATAAACCTCTTAGAAGGTAAAGATTATGTAAAAGGAAATGTGACAAAAAAAGAGTCGACAAGTATGTCTTTCCCCTTCTCCACAGCTCCTCCAGCAATCAGTGGAACTATTAATTAACCTGAGGGCAGTTCCTGGCCTGTTTCGAGCACAGCAGCATCCATGAAGGGGGTAGGGAACGAGCTGGTTGGAGGCTGATGAAGATCTGGGCTTGCATTCCAGCAAAGATGTCCACAAAGGTATGTGCCCTAAGGATCTATCAGGTCACACTGACACCACTGCCTTCTACCATGGGTGTTTTTCAGCCTGTATCAGTCATCCATAGGACACAGCTCTTTTCATACCATCTTCCCAACACAGGGCTAAGGTTCATTTGGAAATACTGTCTGTCTGTCAGTGTTCCTACCTGTGCCTGTGGTGGGTGCTGATTCTCAGGTGAACTACAGACCAGTGATTAAACACAGTCTCATACTACTGGTGAGCAATCACAGCACACCAGTTTGGACAACCATGTGTTCTCACTGAGCCCTGTTGTACTGTGCAGTAATTAAAAAGTCATGAGTCCTATTTAAATATAGGGCATTCTGTCCTAAACCTCCAAATGCCTGTGGGTGTGAGTAAGCTCACTCTGCGAGGATGTTCCCTGGTTTGTGTACACACACCAGCTTCATCAAAAGGATGGAGGAAATGCCAAATCCAGATATATGAATTTCCCCTTTTTTTTTTTTTTTTTTAAAATACATCACTGATCAGTCCAGGGATGGCAAAATTAATAGTAATGAGCTAATTACTATACCAGCTGCCTACAAAGAGGGGTCCTGTAGGCAGACTCCTTCTGCCCATTTGCCTGCTGGTTAAACCACCGCTCTAGAAATTATAAACCAAAACTTTTTTCCCTTTATAAACATCTATCAGCGTCACCTTTATATGGCCCACAGCGCCAACACTGCCTGACTTTTAAGTTCTCAAAATCCAGCCAGAATCTCCCCTAGCACATTATAACACATTTTACTGGCTGGAGCAGGGTAAAACACAGCCGTCTCCTCAAACGGATGGCTGCTGAGCTCCAGCAGCCTCTGCACGAGGCCGGGCACACCATCTGTGTGCCCCCCAACGTCCGAAGCCCGTTCACAACTGCCAGCCCTTTGAAAAGCCAGCCTGTTTCTCTGATTGATTCACTTTTTAATGAACTGGGAAAGCCTGTGAACTTAAACCCTGACACCTCCACCTCCCTCCCGTCCTAGCCATCCCTGCAGCAATGTACTGATTATATTTCAAGTTATTATGGGATTAATACAGCTGCCCCCGGTGCCTCTTTCCCCTGAACTTCATCAATAAAAGTTGTGTACTACTCTTACTCCAGTTAGCTCAGTTTATTCCTGAATCTCTCCCTATAACCTGTGATGTGTCGGCAAGGCTGTATCATATCAGCCCGTCAAAGCTGCCAACACTGCCAGCGTTTAAAACCTACTTGTGTCACGGCCTTGCATAAGCTTTGTGTATTTAAGAGGACATCTTGAGCTTTGCTATGCACTGTATCAGCTCTGTAAGTGGGTAGCACATACTTAGCACTATTAAAAATAATGAAATAAGATAATCCACCAAAAAAATTAAATAGATTGTGCCACTGTCATCTTTCTTTGAATTCACAGTAGAGCTATAAAAAAATGCTCTACACAGGCAAGTTCAGTAGAAGAAAAAAAAGGGTGAGGGGAGCAAAAGATCTGGGCCGGTACAATCCAGTTTTTCACCACCAGCATGTCTTTATACAGTACAAGCTCCAGGTTTACTTTTTTGTTGGTGTTATAGGTTGGGGGTTTTCCCCCCGCAAGGATCCTATTTTCTAAAAACATCATTAAAAATTTAATTAACTGGCTTATTCTTTGGAAAGTCTGCAATTGTTTACAAAAGAATTGCCACACAAGCTGCCACCTTCGACTGTGTTGAAGCAGGAAGTTATGCTCTTGTTTACAACTGCGCATCAATTCCACAATATATTTAGTTTTGGTACAAGTTACATATAAAAGTCTTACTGAGCTTAATGTTGCAGCAAATAACACATATAGTAAGCGAGTAGGATTTATCACTGGCTGTAATGTCATAGCACATATTCTAAATATATACGGTGAATGATATATACACATGCACAAGCAAACAAAATGGTACTATATTTAGTTTAAGAAGTGATGAATTGTGCTTGCTTTCATTATTGTCATTTTGTGTGTAGGAAAATGGAGATCAAGCACATCCATGCAAAGGGCGGCTGGTTGGGATCGCATCCTTTCAGCAGCACACTCACCGACGAGCAGGTTAGAGAAGAAACAGCGCTTTGCTACCCATGGCACAAGACAGGTAGTCCCTCAGGAGTGAGGGACCCAGTGTGGATGCTGGGATACAAACAAACTCCACGGACTCCCAAGATGCTCCCAAAAAGCACAAAACACCTATCCAACTAAAACACTTCCCCCAAGATGTTTTATTCAAGCTTTTTTCTTAAAGAAGGAAGTGGAAATTTTCTCTTTTAAATTCGGTTTTCTTCCCTCTCTCCCCACCCCCCCCTTTCGATCTCTCCCATAAACACAGAGGCCAGAAGGCTATGCTTAAATAATTCATCTACAAATTTGCAATATCTTTTTGAACTATAGCAATTAAACGGAAAATAGAAAAATCAGCTCAGCATCCTGTTTGGATGTAATTAAAGGTATAATCTGTTCCATTTGAATACTTCAGTGCTTACCCTTCTTAAAACAACAAATAAGAATAGTAGCTCATTTGCAATATGGTTTTTTTCAAGTCAGCTAAAAAGACTAACTGATGAAGCAAGAATAATAATTCTTAAATGTGGCATAAGCACAAAAATACCAACTACAGCTTTCAAATGATTGCTGCGGATCTCAAGTCTGATGAAAGTTCAGGAACAAGGGGTATAAGCTTTATGGCAAAACACTGAAGTCTTCCACTATTTGGTATCAGCATCTCGATATGGCTGATATAATTACCTATCAAATACATCAGTGGAATGAATATCAGAGGATGGCATATCAGCTCAGTCTTTTAGGCACTGTTTGATCTTAAGGTTTTTTTCTAAGAATAAAAGACAAATACTGCATTCGTTGCCCTTTTGTTTTCTATAAGCAGTTGAAGATTTTACAGCACAATAAAGTTAGCCTATTAATGGCTGGCTTATGAGTTTTAGCTGGATTTTTACCCTCCTGCTGGACATTTCTTCACTGCTCAAAGAAATTGAAGTCAGGTGTAAAGTTAATATCTGCCTTGTTCATTTATTCATATTGTAAGCAATCAAGATTTCCCCAAATCACAGGGCAATCTCTTGCCTTTCGAGAATTAATATAGGCCCTGTTCTCTCAATTTAGTTTAACAAAACAACTGGCATAAGTTCAATGGAAGCGATGATTATTCTGAGAGGTTATGGCGAACCACAGAAGTTGTTAGCGAGGAGTTTGCTTGTAAGATCCCCTAAGAGGAAAAGTATATGGATATTTCAAAATGTAATTAACAGCATATCCCAACAATGTGAGAAAGAAACATTGTCTGGTTTAGCTGCAGAGGAACCTGGCTGTCCAGGGAGAGCTTTGGCTTGCCCGGCAGGCACCACTCCCTTAAGAGCAAAGGACAGGATGAGCACCAGAGGGGACCACTCACTGCTGCTGAGAAAGCTACCTGGGCAGGCTCTGTCCATGGGGGCTCCCTTCATGCAGCCAATCTCACTGTGCTCATCAGCACAGCTCCCTCGTCACGGGCATTTCACTGGGTCCAGGACCCAACCAGAAAGAGTAACTTTTTTTCAAAATGTCAATTTTCTCTCCACTATACTCTCTCAAAAAAATTCTTTTGGGACAGGAATGTCTCAGGCATCCTTTTGGTCTTAATGGTATGGTTTGTGTGACTGTTTCAACAAAATTGTTGAGGGTTTTTTGGTTTTGTTTGGGTTTTTTATTGTTAAATATGTAGCAGTGAATAAAAACAATTCTAAAAAGCAAAATACTCTATTTTTTAAACATTTTGATCATTAAAAAAAAATCGATTTTCAAGCTCAGCATCTGTAAGCTGAGGTGAATAATGTAGCAGAGAACCAATTTAAACAGATAAAATGCTGACAAAAATGTGCGAGCAATATTACACATGGGAACAAAATGACACAATGGTCTACAAGGCCTCTATTACAATAGTGAGTATGAGAGAAGTTTAAGCTCAAATTTGTTGAAAGTTAGCACCTATTAAAACTTCCAGCCTTTCTGGGGGTGCATGCTTTACTGTTTGAAAGCCCAGGCTCTCTTCAGGACCAGCCCTTCAGGGGCATGAACCCCACACAGGGTTTCTCAAGCATCACCCTCCTGTGGGGGCCTTCAATGGACAAGCCAGAGGTGAGTGGGGCAAAAAAAGCCCCAGGGGAGCCACCAGGCAGGACTGAGGCTTACACCCCCTTACCATCTTACAGCCTATTGCCTCCCCTGAGCTGTGTAGCCTCCTGCACACCAAAAACATTTCTGTGAACTTAACGCCAGAACTACTGTTAAAAGAAACATAACAACAAAACTGACTTGTTAAAAATACCCACAGAGGATGAGGGGAAAAAAAAAATTCCTCAACACAGTGGTCTGTCTCCAGTAAACAGGACTTTTTTCAGGTCTTGGGCTTAGACATAAGACCACTCTACCTCAGGTGAATGAATTACTGTCAGCTGGGCCATTTTCACTGAGGTTTAAGAACAGGCCATTTGCCAGGAGCCCAAAGCCTGCACAGCTGGCACGTATCATGTTGTCTTCTATCCTGTTGTATCATTTATGTAGAATGGTATGGCTGCTCAGCCGGTGGCACGCGGGCCTTTGTTACCCATGTGCCTCCTGACACAGCAGTTTGCCCTGCAGCAATCACCTACCCCATGGGTCATACTCCAGGACTAGGACCCAAGCCGTTTCACTCCCATAAGGGACATCTCTTAGAGACAAGAACCTGTGTCTAAATGAAGCAATGCTTATCTCATGCATACCACAGGTGTGATGTCATCCCCTCTGGCAGAGGAACCAGGATGTCTACAGCCTTCACTGTACAAAAATGCAGGAACTAAAGTTAACACGTCTCAGACTTCGTTAAAATGTGATGATATTTAAGAAACACAATTACCACTACAAAGTTAATTCCTCTTCGAGTTCTTACAAACAAGTTTTTAATTTGCACCAAAAATTTAAATTTCAGATTTCAAGTCAACCATGAATGGTACAAGCTTGGTCAAGGACTCCAGGCATCGGCTGGTAGGTTCTGTAAGGCCTGGGGGCAGGAGCACTGTGGCTTCCCAGGAATGTCACTGGCAAACAGTCACCAGCAGACCCCAGCACACACAGGTAAGCCGATGGGATTGCTGTGAACTGTCTCATCTGTTGTACAAGTGTCAAAATAATTGCCGTGTCAGATAAACTTTTGCTTTTTATTAAAAAACAAACCCCACCAAACTTATAAGGTAATTGATTGCTTTCTTCTAGTCTTTTATTAGTTGTGATTAAGGAGCTATAGTAGTCCTGTTTACACAGCTCTAACAAGTCAGGACCTGCAGTACGTTATTGGCTTGCGGCCCACAACTTGCCGTCCATTCTCAACAGAATCAATCTGAAGTTGAAAACATCCCCCGTAGGAAGCGTACACATCCCTGCTCACACAGGAACAGAAACAGTAATAACTTCAGGTCCTGTAAGTTGCAAGTTCAACTTACAGAGATCAGCCCTGACTTGTCATTGCTCTCAGCATGTTCGTGATGAGATCAGAGCACTTCACAAAGGACTCATACTTCCAGCTTGACAAGGGACATAGGTGAGCGTGTAACACTCCACTGTTACTCACCCCTCACTGCAGAAATGAATCGAGAGCTCCTCGCTGTTTAACATGCAGTCAAAGCACTGCCAATCTAAAATGGCTGATCAGTAATACTTTAATTGCAGTTTCATAGAAACAAATTGCTATTTAATTGCAATAAGCTTGTCTGTGGCTTAGCTGGACTGACAATAGGCATCCACCTGGTAGTAATAGTAACGAGCAGCAACAAGGGTTATCTGGTACTGCACATACGGGAGGCTCAGGCGGTGCCATCAGACCTGGAACACATAATTTTACATATAATACTTAAAAAAAATTATATACATAAAATGTCCTAATCTCAATTGTATCTGTTATTTTAATAGAGCTGTTCAGAACGTAGATCTTTGCAAAAAGCCTCACACTTGACATACAACTACCAGCCAAATAATTTGATAAAAAATTTAAATTTTGAAATCACAGAATCAGGTTGGAAAAGACTTCTGAGATCATCAAATCCAACCTATGACCTACAGTCACCACCATGCCAACGAGACCATGGCACTGAGTGCCACATCCAGTCTTTCCTTAAAACTTATTAAGGGACAGTGACTCCATCCCCTTGATAGCAAGGCATACTATGCCAGTATCTGAGTTGAATTTTTTTTTTTTAAATATTTACCCCAATATTAGATGATGATCAGGGTTAACTAACAGGAAAAAAGGGAGACAAACTCAGTGTGGTTAATATTCTAAAGATGTGACTTAATTTCCTAGGCTTCATTTTGGTAAGACATTCTCATTTTATATTTCATAAGATACTGCATAACCTGTTAAAATATTTAAAGATAAATCATGTAGGACTGAAAAGACAGTATCTTGTTGCAAACAGAATTTGGTTTGGAAAGGCTTAATGTCCCACTGCCTGCCAGGATGCGTAAATCTCATAACTAGACAGCTGGATAGGTAAAAACATTAAACCCATTTAGAGGGCAATCTTTTTACAAAATTGTTTCATTAATAAGAGTGACAATTTATATGATTGAGACGTTTAGATGCAGTATAGACAGAGCATTTTATCCAGGTTCATGAGGATGATTTCAGATTAGTAGTATTTCCTTTGATTCTTTTTTTAACATTTATTTTTGAAAGCAAGAGAAGCTCTTACTAAATGATTATTTGTATGACTTTTCAGCAGCACTAAATGCAGAGGGTGTATTTCAGCCTCAGTGTAGCAAATATATGTGATAAAAGGTGAACAAGTACGTGTTTTTCTTTACAGATCTCCTTAAAAAAAAGTGATTTTTCATAAGAGAACAAATCTAAGTGTTTCCAGTAGCCTTCTCTCCACACCTACCATCCCCATTAGAGCCTGTTTTATTGTCTGAAATGCCTCTGGTTTCAAGAAAGTGTTTTACCTAAAGCAAGAATACTACTTAAATATGTTCTATTGTATATTCATAGCTCCATTAGTCCTCCTCCAATTTAGCACATCAAAGCAAAGGCTTCATCACTTGCATGTGGATTATGCTAACATGAGTGACATTTGTAATCTTATAGGTCTGCAACTTAAGAAATGCTTTTAAAGTAAGCTATTAAATAGGTAGCTGTGCTTTACAAATGAGTCATATAATAGTTTATTTAAAGCTGTTAACGAACTTCAACCTCTACATCACTAAATGCAATACTACATTACTTACTAGAAGTTATTAGCTATCTTCTTAGCACTTCTAGGTTATATTGGACAACCAAAAATCTGTACATGTTAGATTTAAACACTGTACCTTGAGTGCTTATACTGAAAGAACAGAAAAAGATGTCTACAGTCTCACTAATACTTGAATTTTATATTCATGTGACTTCAACTGTCTTTTCAAAGATACTGAAGCAGCACAATTTGCAGGACTACCTAAAGACTTTAATGCCAGATCAAAAAGCTTAAAAACTTATTTAAAATACACATTAGGTGCATTTAATTTTAAAAAAATCAGTCATTTATGCTGTGCTTTATATGTTATGCAAGTACTCTTTGTCTGTACTGTCTGATACTGTACATTACTGCATTTTCTGTTCTCTGAAACAGTGCTTCTTCCTCAAGCACTGAAGTGTTAAAAGAAGTTCAGCTGCCCATCAACATACTAGAGGTCATGAAGTAGAATTTGAAACAAAAATATCTGCTGTCAGTTGTTTAGACAAACAAATCTATAATCAGATTTTTTGTGTATCGCCATCACAACAAAAATAATTCACGCTCACTCTGTAACCAAGCATGCTGATCAGAGAACATCTTCTCAAAAACAGAATTAAAAGAGATAACATAATGATGTGTTCCAACTGTATTAGTTTCCTATAAAAGTAGAGTAGTTGTTAATATTGATTTGCTGTTAATTGCAGCAGAGGCACATTTGGTGCTTGCAGTTTCCTGACTGAAGGCATATAATGCACAGCATAGATCCATATTAAGATTCTTGCTAAACACGTGAAATGTCAGATTTTTTTTCTTCAAAATTATTTTGCACAGCTCTACCACCAAGCAGCTGATGGCAAAAACGCAAAAAATGAAGTTGCTCTCTTTCTAAGATTAGAGGTGGCTCTGTTGCTTTGTGGGGAGGTGGTTTTTGTTTGTTTGCTTTCAGAGAACAGATCATATTTGAGATCAGCCAGTTCTCAGAAATAGCCCAGGAAACATGTTTTTCTTTCCTTAAGTTTATCAGTGTTGCAAAGTTAAATCTCTTACCACAGCAAACACAACTTTACGTTGTTCAGATCAGAATAGCTATTGTATTCCTTTTTATGAATACTCAATTCTAGTGCTCAGCATGAGGTACAAACCTTTCTCTGGTTTTTATTTTTTTGACCTCCTGTGGTATATACATACCCTCTCGTGCTTGCAAGCTCAGAGACACATGCACAGCCTTAACGCAGGTGATTCTGAAGGGCGGAAATTATTAGAAAGATACCTCAGTACCCATGTGTGTACCGAACTCACTGCAATGTGAAGTACAATGCACTTGCTGTCACCAGAATTAAGAATCTCCATGAAAAATAATTTTGAAGTTGTGCTCTGCAGCTTTGCCAAAAGTAATGCAGTCAAGTAGTTTAACGTATTCTTTACTGGCATAAGAAAAAAAAAAAAAAAAACCAAAACCAAAAAGCTACTTTTAAAGGTAATTGACAATTAAGGTAACAACTATGTAAGACAGAGTTGTGGAATAATGTTTTGAATGTAATTTAAAAATAAATTAAAAAAAAAAAGCAAAGCTTCTAAAACCCGTACTCAATTCAGTTTTGTTTGTTTTACTTTTTATTATTTAAATACACCATACTAGAGCAAATGTCTCTGAAAATATCACAAATAAAAGATTTTTCTTCATTCAGCAAATTAGAAGTAGGTGAAAATTTCTACACAGTAGCTGCTATGAGCCTGACTTTTTTTTCTTTTTTTTCTTTTTTTTTTTTTGCCATGGGAAGTAGCAACATTAGGACAAAAACACTTACATGCATACATACATTGTATTTTACAGAGATACAATAAAAGTGTTTGTGATAGAATATCACAAAAGCCACATCTTTTATCTCATGTTCAGTTTGATTGAAACACATTTCCTTACAACACTTAAATATACAAAGAGCAAATAGAATGTTGTTAAGGTAAAACACAGGGTACAAACTGGCCAGTGCCCTGCTAATTGTTAATGAGGGTAGAAAGCAGATTTCAATGCTTCTTTTAATTAGCTTCATTAGTCATCTTCCCCTCCCGCCCCCCCCAAAGATGTCCTCCGGTGGATCTTTTTTCATTTTCTCTACAGTCTCCCATTAGCCCAGGTTCATGGAGTCCTTAATGTTCATATTCAGTCATTTTAATACACCAATAAATGTGGGAAGGGCAATCAAGAATAAAGAAGGTGCAATGGTATGGAGCTGGCATTGATGCTAGCTACAAAGGTGACTTGTCTACTTGGAGACATGGGATCCATCTGTGATGAACAAAATTTGAGATGAAGGCACGCATTCTGCATTACTCTGACCTTTTAGCAGACCTGTAAGAAATAAAAATGGGTATCTTAGCTAAATTTGAGATAGGAAACTACAACATGACTGCTTCTGTCTTTTCCTTATTCACTAATCTCTTTTTTATTAGACTACTCCCCAACTGTGACTTCATTAAGGCTTTCTACACTATCCATTCACACTGCTAATGTTTTAACTTCAAATAGCAAAAAGCAAACATTTTCCACAGTTTCACTACTAAAAAAAGCAGACGGGGAAAAAAAAAGAAGCGTCTACAACAAGAAAAAAGTGTACTTTCTGGTAACAAATCGTACAGTGAATAAGGTGGTTTTTCTGGGCCTCCTTTAAAAGGGAAGAACCATTATGCAATGCCTTTGAAGAAGCAAGTAATATGATCTTATAATTGGAAGAAATAGTGTGTAAAGCAAATACAAAGTACAGCCAATATCCTCCCAAGGCAACTTTGGCTAATATGCTGCATTGCACAAGAGCTAAATATAGATATTTCAGGATTCCCCCCCCCCCATTTAAATTCCTCATCTGGTACGTTAGTTAATGTTACATAAACATTTTAATATATGAAGTCAAACATGTGCTTTCACACTGGTGTTAATGAATTGTGATAATTAAAAGTGTCTAACTCAATAAAAATCTAAACTTTCATGGGTAAAATAGAAATGATCATCCATAGTCTTCAAATACAATCTGTTTGCAATTACCAAAATGAAATAATATATATTAGATTTTTATGGCTTTTAAATGACATTTTGCGCTTCCCAGGAAGTTCTTTTTTCACCCTTTCTCTAAGTTACTAAAAGCCTGAGGTCTATTAGTAACTGCAACCCCCCACTTTCAAGCTAATTAAAGTAGTAGAGGCTTGGAGGTTTAATTCCCCAGAGCTGAAGCTCAGTGTGAGAAAGGTAATTTGTCTGTCCAGAACAAAGATTAGGGAGCAGCCAGCAAGCATATTTAATAAATGAGCATCAAATATCTTCTACTATGGACACAGACAACACCAATTATGTAACTACAAGGGAATTGTTGAGTGATATGTAAACTAGGAGATTTTTAAGATCTTCTCAAAGAGATGTAATATAACTCATACTTTATTTAAAAGTACAGAAGCTGAAGGCAAGCATTTGTTATGAACATTGCCTACTGGTGGAAAATTTACACTTTTAGTAGGTGGTAACACTGTTGCAAACACGAAATTCTAGAGGAATACTTTGAGTACCAAAAAATGCATAGAGAATTCTTGGCAATACAGCCCCTTCAAATGAAACAGCACACAGGACATCACAAACCAAGTTTGCACCCTTCAGGCAAGCAGTACCAAGTTTAGAGAGAACAGGGTTTTTTCCAAACTACATGGCAAGTAATGGGAAGCTATAATATAATGTGTGAATTGCCTCAGGGAGGCAAAAGGTGGGAATGGTCAACATCAGGGCATTTGCCTCCTTAAAAAGAAGAGCAAGTTTTTAAACCAAGTTAGGCCACGGAACCCTTTCTGCCTGCACCAGTCACCTGTAAATTGTATTAAGACAACAGTAAGTTCATAACTCTCACCTTTACATGCGCAATGAAAATGTGTTTTAATGCTGGGAGTATGTCTCAATTTTTTTGGTTAAATAAAAAACCTGTGGATATTCTGCTATGTCTATAATCTCTAGTGCTAAAAGAACTGGGAGACTGAATTGATCTTTAATGCTTAATAAAAAGTATCTGTTACAGCCAATTCTGTTACAGTGGAAGAACATTTTTAATCAGTGGCCCTAAAACATGCAGCTTGCTGCAAAACATCTCTGATGTTATAACCTTTAGACTGTTAAAAAAGCAAAATACAAAGCATAACTCTCCTGGTACCTGCCCCTGTAGCTTCCAAAGTTCTAGAAACCTGACAAATCCATGAATTATCAACTTGTCTCCTTAGCTATATTTCAGTTTTCTGGGGCTTGGCTGCTCTGCAATTCCCTTTGAAAACCAATAGGAGAACTTTGACCAATTTATAGAGAGATTGTATTATTAAAAAAACCCAAACAAACAAAAAAAAAACAAAAAAACCCCACTCAAACTCAATAATTTCTCCCCTCAATCTTCTCCCTAATACCTGCTCATCTGCCTCAGCAGTGACTGCAGCAACGCCGTTAACAGGCGGTGACAGGAACTAATAAAAAGCTGTTCTATTTTCTCTGCATTTTGCTTCTACCAGGTGCCTACAGTCAGGAGCTCTGCAAGCCCAGTCCAGTTTCACTTCTCTTTTCCATGTTCTATGTTCCTCATCATGTCTACAGCTTTTATTGCAACTAAATCATTTTTATGTTTTGCTAAGGCATAGTAAGAAACTGATAAAACTAAATGACAATTTAGACACCTATTTGAAGTTACATTAAACTTTACATTCGTAGAAGACAAGTGGATAAACCACTCTCAGAATGGCAAACCTTTTACTGCAGTGTATAAAGATGAATGGTTTTACCTATATTTTGAAATGGGATACCTATAAATATTCATTTAACAGAATCACTGCTAGCTAGTCTATATTACAGATTTGTTTCATTAAAATTCACAACAGTATAAATCTATGAATCTTTAACTGTATTTGTACTTCCTTGAGAAGAGGCGGCACATTCTCCTCCAATCTTAATTATCTTTGTTCTGCCTAACTATATAGCATTTTTGTACTCAACTCTCTCATCACCTCGATTGACAAATTAAGTAAACAAAAAGGTCCACGTTTTATTTTGATGTAATTACATTCACTGTATAAGATTTTAAAGAATACTTAAAATTAATCAGTAAATTTATGCACAGAAAAAAAAGCAAACACAGATATTGAAATGTAGCAACATAACAAAAAAAAAATCATGTAACTTAAAGAACAGTTTCTGTTTTCTCGGACATATTTTTTCACTGACTACAAGCACTACAAAAAATATACTGTATACTAAAGAATAGATCAGCCTAGCATTTGTCCCAGATTTTTTTTAATCTTCCAAATTCCTACTTGCAGATAAATGTTATTTTTTGTGATCCTTACAGACATTAATGAAGTTCCTATTGTAAATCTATAAAGAATTACCAACTGAAGTGTGCACTTTTTGTTTCATTGCAATAACTCAGTGCTGTGTGATTGCCTGGGTTAATGATGAAAAAGTCAAATATACTATCAGAGCTGATGGAAAAATCTATCACCAATCTGAAATTAAAATTCATCTGTGGTCAATAAGATTTAATATCCATGCAAGTGGCGCTGTAAAGAGTAAATGAATCAATGTCATCAATACATAATCAGTATGAAATATGATGTGAATAAAATTATGTGCAAGAGTCATACATCCACTCTTTTCTGGACCAGGGTGGAATGAACAGTCTCTTAACTCAAGGTTGACAGTAATTGTTACAAATTAGGCACAGCAGTTATCAAAATGCACTCACTTGCATAGCTTTAGGACTTATTAAGGAGATTAAAATAGATCTAAAACTATCTAGTTTCAGAGTTACAAGACAACTGTTGATCAGAAATTTTTTTCTTCTTCTTCGCTATATGATTTGTACAGCCATTATTTACTCATTTAGCTAGAAACCAAGAGCTATCAGCCACAGAGATATACAATCTCTAGTTGAGCTATTAGTGTTATGGAGCGATAAGAAAATAGCATTTTGATTTTTAAATCTGAGTTATGACATACAAACCAGACAAGAAAATACTTCTGAAAGAGTATCCCAGCATGCTTCCTCAACTAAAATCTTAGTAATTAGGTAAAATACATTGGTTTAGTCCAGGAACCTTCTCTTTACAAGATATTTATTTCCACATTAAAGGATCTAATTTTCCTCCCTCAGAAACCTGCTCTCTTGTAGCCCTTAATTTCAAGATTATAAAGTAAAATACTTCTCTTTCTTAGGAGTTCGTATTAATGTACGCTCTCCATTTCGCTTTGTACATAAGGAGTTCAACAGCTGTACAGATGCACGTGCACAAACCAAAATAAATTGACTCACCCTATATGCCACATTTAAAAGGTTAGTATTTTCTCCCCACACCCTGTGCCTAAATAACTTAAGGCAAGTTCAGCTACTTAAAGGTCTCCTTGCAGGGGTGGGGAATGTCCACTATTAGAATGAAAAGAAATTGATCTTCATTTAGCTCTAAGAAAGCTTATTAGTAATTGTGGAGTATTCACCTTCTGGTCTGGCAGTAGTGGATTACTCTGAAGTGAATTCAAATGGCCATTGATGAGAGCTGTAGGTCTATCATGTTCACAAAATAAACTGCCATTGATGTAGTGAAACCGATCTCCAGGGACCAGGCGATTCCGGCAGGTAGAGCATGTAAAACACTGAAAAAGGAAAGAGACAGCAAGTGAAACTACAGCACAAATTAAGTATGCTGCAGGTTTGAAAATTACACTTCAGAGACTGCAAGTACAGTTGAGATATGGAGCTGCTTGGTTTCTAGTTCTCCAAATATGGCATTAGTCTTACCTGTTGGGACTATGCAGTACATAACTCAAGTATAGTTTTACCGATTATGAGGGAACAAAGCTACACACTAAGGGAAGCTTTATAATAGATACTCATATTTCTAGTTATTTTTTTGCATTTCATTCATAAGCAGATGTAGATTTTACAGTAAAGAAGCAGGGCAGTACTAATCAGCTACTAAAAAAAAAAAATACAGCAAAACCCCTCACCTTAAGATGATAGACGTTGCCCTGTGCCCTCATGACCAGCTCACTAGCAGGAATGGACTGTCCACAGGCACTGCAAGCACCACTATTTCCAAATAACCTGAAACAGAGGTGATGATCATGAATAATTTAATACACAGAAGACTCTCAGCATTTTTGCACATCACTGCCATGGTTTATTACACAACTATTTTAGACTTCTGACCCCTGTCTTCCAACTTGCTTACATGTCATAATACGAAAAAGTATATTTTTGTGTAACAACTGGTAGCTTCACCCTACCCTGGATGTGGTTACACAGGATTTAATCAGAAATATTGACTTACACCTCTAGAAACACAAACAATTCTGTACTACACACATTTTATCAGATTACTGGGTTCATCATAAAAAAAAAAAAAGATACAATTCATGACTGGAGTTTAAATGCATTGTGTCCTTGAAATTATATGAAGAACTCTTTTGTACTTTAATCATATCTTGAGATATGAGTCATCAAAAGGGTTAAGAGGATTTGATTGTATATCTAAGAAGACATCATGCTCAGTGTATTGAAACTCCAGTAAACCTCCATCAGTGCAGAGTTTCCATTAGAAACTCTCTGCTATCCAGGTTGATATATAATGTGTATGGGTTAACCTTTTCAATCATGGTGTCAACACTTTAGATTTGCCTCTGCTCATCTCTTTCATCCTAACCTTCTCTCTCTCTTGATAATGAAATGCTTGCTCCAACTTCCCTCTATCTGCTCCTGAGTCCACAATTTAGATTACTTCATCTCTGCTAGCAACAAACTGAATGAAATTTCGATTTGAGCAGAAAGTAATTTACCGGGATCTGGACCCATTTGTCATCATATCTCTCTGGGTGTTTGCTGTATCACTGCAGTTTTCCTATGCAATCAAATGAGACCACAACATCTGCCATTGGGGGGGGCACACGCAGTGGGGGGAAGGGGGAATAGGCAGAAGAGTGGTGAAGAAAAATATATACATAATTCTTCAAATCCATTTAAAGGCACAACGCATCGATTCAAAACATAATACAATAATGATTATTGAGTTCTACTTTTACAGGCTGCGTTAGCTAGAATTAGAAAAACCTTTATTTGCTTTTGCGTGAGTCTCTAATAGACACAAATATTTATAAAGACTACCACAATTCATCTCACGGTAAAAAAGGAAACTGAACTAGCTGGCAGGGTCACAGACCCACTTTTCTGCACGATGGAAAACATAGTAATAGGATTTACAAATTAGTGTATTGGTGTCATAATAAATATTAATATTTGCATCTCCTTCCTGTCCAAATAAAGTCATAAAATTCTGTTTGTGTCAACCTAGGACACACATTACAACAGAATACCCGTAATCTGAATGATTGCAGTGTGCCTCTGTATAAAAATAATTGCTTTGAATTTTCAGAATCTGAGCTTGCAGAGGAGGCTTGTCATGTTCAAACTACTAATTTGCTGTCGCCACTTTATTGAAAATAGCCTGTAAGTTGTTATTAAATGTATCGACTGAACGACAGAGAGAGTAGTAAAACTGCCCCTTAAGATGGCTTTTAATAGGAAGCTGAGAAACAAATTTTGCAGCAGAATCGATTTGAAGAGTTCAATCAAAACTCCATTTCAAAACTAATTAGTCTGAGATCCACGACACATTGACACGTTCTTGCAGAATCACAGTGGTTACAAAGGGAAAGCTGAACTAATACATTGTCAGGACCTCCCGCCAAAGGGACTAAACTGTCTGGAAACTAAAGGTCCTTTATTAGGGCATCTTCCAAACGGGACCAGTTCTGAGTAGTTACATGATGTATCAAGGTTACTTCCAAAGCTTTGCAATATGCATTTTTCTTCCTTCATTGTTACTCGTAACCAAGTTGGCACTAGAAAAGGTGCACTGGAAAGGCTTCAAGAGGAGGCAGCAAGGCACTGCTACATTTCTAGAGCAAAGATACAAAAATCTAGGGTAAGGGGGTGGCACCAAGGGCACTGCTGGCTAGGGCGGAGTAAGAAAGACAAAGATGGACAGACAATGTTAGTTGTCCAGAGAATCTGAGCCTGGTGAGCGGTCTCCCACAACCCCCCTGCACAACTGCACCACCCAACTGCAAACACAGCTTTCGGAATGCTGATCTCATTGCACTACTTGTCTTCATTAAGCATTCATTGTTATACTATTCTCTCTGAACTAAAAGTGGTTGAATGTCTGTGAATTCTAATAAACAGAGTTGAACTAATCCAGAGGCTTTCCGCACATCCTAGGTTTTCCCCATGCATGTTTCCAGAACAATTCTGGTTGAGGAAGCCACTTCAGCTGAATATTCTGCTAAAAGTCCTAAAAATTACTTACAAACTCAGAACACCTTTCTACTTCTTCGTATTATTTAACAGGAAAATTAAGCTTATTTTTTCCTTCTCTACTCTTATGAATGGTTTTATTCTGTAACACCATTAACAGGAAAAGGTTTTATCTTTAAAAAAATTGTTATTCCTCCTTACCAGTAAAGAAAGTCTTCCACGGTAACTATTCTTTACTGAAAAAGTTGTTTCACATGGTTTCTGGGAGGCTGGAGAGCTAATTATCTAACCAGGGGGACTGTCCAGGACAGTATTTGATTTAAAAGGCTTGAGGCTTTAGGTGCTCAATTAAGTAGCTATCGGTCTCAGACTGGACTTTAATGGGCTCTTTTCTCTTTAACTGCAGCAATAGGTAGAGATACCCCAGGTCAGGCTAATTAAAGCCAGGGGACTCTTTAATTGTGATGACAGAATTGGTTTCAGTTTCCTCTTTGGGTCCTCAGTCCAAGAAGGTCATTAATATTTCAACATTTGGGCAATGCAATCAATCACAAACATCAAGAGGTTCCCTGTACGGACAAGGCAGCTCTTCTACACTTAGCAGCATTTTACTGAGCCACCTTAAATTAACTACTGTGTGGTTCCAACACAGCATTCCCCACACCCCCAAACACAGAAATGACCCTTGGTTTTTTTGGTTGGTGGGGATTTTTTGGGTGGGTTTTTTTTCAGAACTTTCTGTACAAGAGTGGGAATGAAAGCAGCGAGTTTCCCAGTTTCCCATCTTGCTGCTCAAAATTCAGCATCAGCAGAAACACATCTCTAGCAACTTGTACTAGCAAAATAAGGTTCCAGTGCTTTCCAAAATCGTGGAGACAGATTTAAGCGCTCCGATTCTTGCACGACATGGTGCACATTTGCGCCCATAAACATATATCCAAGCCCTAGCAAAGAGAAATGCACATCCAGACCTACTGATCCAGAAGCAATCGGTGTTTCTGTACATTCTCTGCATTTAATCTAAATTCTGCACCAGCTATAATAAATGTAACAAAGAAAGGCAACACAGAAATTACGCCTGAAGCCAAGTCCATTAAAGGTACTTCAGAATAACTAGAGACCAAGCACCTTAAAAGCACCAGAAGCTATTGATACTTAAAAGGGGGGCTGTGCATAATGGCAAGTGCTGCATTAGAGAAGGGGAAGAAAAAAAAAAAGAGGAAAAAAAAAAAACCAGCCAAATTACGCTTGGTTAATTCAGAGTAACAGATCTGCCCCCAAGTGAATTGGAGGCCTTGAATTAATTCTGTTATGACAAATCAAGATAAACGTTCCCCCTAAATTGCATGCGATTTAATTAATTTTTGAGATCCTGTTTTTTTTTTTTTTTTCCTAGCTAATAGTTCACATGCTCCTGTGCTGTCATTGTGCTTGAGTGGGCAGACTTCAAAGTGATATTAAATAACCAACTATTAGATTTACCTAGCACGTCCTATTGGAAAAGTGCCATTTAATTACCTAGCCTGTTCAATTAAAGGGACAGCATTCCCTGAATATAGCAGCTTGCCGCTGATTACCAGGGAAATGAACTGGCTGCCTGGCGGCCCCCTCCCCTCCCCTGCGCGGCCCTCGGTGCGGCTCGGCCGGGCCCGGCCCGGGGCTGCGCCCCCGCCGCGCTGCGCGGAGCGGAGCGGCCAACCCGGGAGGGGCGCCGGGCGCTGCCCCTTTAAGAGGCGCACGGGCAGCCTCCCCCTCTCCCCCTTCCCCACCACTCCCTGCTCTCTCTTAGAGGCCAATTTTGTTAATTAAATGTTTTGTTTGCGACGCGGCTCTCATTCATTTCGGACACGTCATTCCGAGCAGATCTAAGCCAGGGACCAGATCTCATTAGATAAAACCTATCAGAACTAAGAGAAAATGGAGGAGACACTAATTAAAGGTTTTAATTGTGCGGATTCGCTGCCACGCTGCTGCTTTATCTGGCATCTTAAGGTTGGGAGGGCTGCACTCCACTCCCCTCCCTGAGCGCGCTGCTTGCCGTGAGGAGGGAGGGGAGTGGACCAGGGTTTTCGCCTCCCTCTCTTTTCCCAGGAACCTTGGCCTTCAATGAAAGCTGCTGCTGTAGCTGTACGGCCAATTTGAGCTCGGGTTTTGGGAGCTGGGGCGGGGGGGGGAGGAAGGGTAGGGAGGAGCAGAGAGGGAGGGAAAGGGGAGTGTTGTGTTGTTTAAACAACAACAAAAACCCCCACATACAGCTTCAAACGGTTAAAAAGCTCATTAATAAATGGCCCCGTGTCTTGGCTCGAAGGAGTCAAGTCCCTTTCACCTGGCGCCTGCTGGGCCGATCAATCCTCTTTCTCATTTTGTCAATCGTGTCTAGTGAGCCCCACATCTCCAACTGAGAACTGTGCCCATGGCTCTTGCCTGGGGAAAAGAATGTGCCACTGCAAAAGCCCTACGGAAAACTAAATGGGGAAAGGATGGCAGAAGGAAAACAGAGAGGCTCGCTGTCAGATGGGTGGCATTGCCTTCACACCTGAAGGCAAATGTCAAAAAAGGAAAGGTTGAGGGCCTCGCTCATGCCAGTGTGACCCAGGAAGAAGCCTGCAAAGTCCATTTGCAGCAGGAAAGCACCAAGTTAACTCAGCCTTGGCAGGACCAGACCATCCTACCCCACCTTGAGCGTACAGTGTCCAGTTCAAGTTTCAGCAAGCATTTGTCAGAGTTATTTTTGCAAGTCAAATTACACAGATCTAAAGAGAAGTCAGGCAATAGGACAAGGAGATCAATTCAAACTCCTCATCTGATAAAGCATCTTATTCATAATCGCCTACATTAAAATAAACGAGTATTAATTTTTGGCAACACAAGACCAGAGGACTGCGATAAGCTTGCCTGAACTTGCCTCTGGGATACAGTGGACGCATCTTCTCTTTTTAATTAGTAGCAATCAGACATGAGGGTTTGTTTGATGGTGCTGGTCGAGTGATGAATCTGTACTATTCAGTGCATCTTAACAGTAGTGTCAATTTTTCCACTTCAAACGAGACTCTTTCCCTAACACTGTTCTGCTCTATTTAATTACAATTCTGCCAGGCTTAGGCTTGTTGCTTAGGATGATGACCAAAAAGCACCATTAACCCCTCATCATGTGCTGATTTTTTTAGCATTTCTCTCTAAAAATACCCCCAAAACTAGTGAAGCTTAGGCTTCAATTCCTCAGAGATACAAAGGGACGTCTTTCATCTACCTAACTTCCCAAAGCCACGGCCATGTACCAGGTCAGAGACTGCACTATCAGAGTAACCAAGTCTTAACTCTGTCCTCTTAGACTAAGGAGGTCTCTGTGCATATGGACTTTCAGCACTGTCCACCTCTTCTCAAACAGAAGTCAAGTTCTACAATATAAGCAAACTTGCAACATTTGATGGCTGGTTTTAGCAAGGTTTTTTTTCAGAAAGGAAAAAAAAAGTGGAACTTTTTGGCCAGAAGGGAGAAGGGAAATCCTGGGTTAACTCCTGACATTTACTGTAAATGAGAAGCCAGAAGCATTTAAACAGAACACAATTTGTTTTAACTAAGCATTTCTGTGATGCCAGGAAGGTATGGGGCTTTCTTGTTGTTTTTTTTAATTACTGAATGTTGAAACAGAACACCTCCTTGAAGCATTCATGTGCATCAGTCTATCAAACCATTTACTCAAATTAAATGTGTAATCCTTCAAAATGCCTCCTTTTAAATTAATGAGTTTAAGTAGCTTGAGTTCACCTGAAAAGATCGTACAGGCACCTGACCTCATGAATTCTTTCTATTAATTATATTGGAAACTTGTTGGAAGGGATACTCTGCATAATCTTACTGTACCCCAACAGATGTGAGATTAGTGAGGCTTAGTTCCCCCTACCCAAATCTGTGGCATTTAAAGCAAACAGCTTCAAAAGAGAAAGAGATAAGAAATAAAGGGCACAAGCATACACCTCCTCTCCTATCTCCTGCATTTTCCATACTGAAAGTTAAGAGAAATGCCGGTTCAAAGCTTCTGTGTAACAATGTGAAGACAAACATCATACCACTGTTTTTTGCTATAACTAGAATCGGTGGCCCTCCAACTGACGGTTAATCAGCTCTTTCACAAGGAGAACAGAGAATGAGTCATTCTGTTTCCACTCAAAGGAGTTTAAAGGTGCTTATGTAAATATCATAATTAATCAGATACTAAAGGCAGGCATTTCATTATTTAGCACCTCTGCCACAGCCTTATTTAAGCCCTACGATTTTAACATTTACCGTTCAGATATGCACACTTCTCCTTCAACACTACAACAAAGCAGATTAATTTAGCTTCTCTGATTGCTGTTTATTTTTAGTTAGGACTTGTTTTGTGCTGACAAACCACTTTAAAGTTACAGTCGTCGTTCCGCCTCCCACCCCCCGCAACTCTTCCCTCCACTTGGCAGTCGCAACTACGCCCTGGGCTAGGCGCTAACATCCGCACCCGCACGTCTCCTCGTTCCTAATGAAGGAGCGATCCTGAGCCAGCCCACCCCTCTGCCCCGCGGACACCCACCTCGAGAAATAAAGGGGGGGGGGGAAGGAAAGATGGAGAAAAAGGCAGGAAGGAAGGGGGGAAAGTGGTCCTCGGCAGCCCGGCAGTCGCCTCACCTGATGTAGTCGTTTCTGCAGAGGATCATCCCGCTCTTGGTGTAGCAGGAGGTGCCGATGTCCCCCAGCTGGGCCTGGCAGCAGGAGCACTTGAGGCAGCGGCTGTGCCAGTAGCTGTCCATGGCGTAGAGCAGGAAGCGGTCGGCGATCTTCCCCCCGCAGCCGGCGCACCTCTTCCAGGAGAGGGAGCCCGCCGTGACCGGGGGCGGCTGCGCGCTGCCGCCGGGGTTCACCATGGCCTGCGCGGAGAGAGGGGCGGGGGCGGTCAGGCCGGCTCGGCACGGCTCGGCAGGGCACGGCAGGGCAGGGCACGGCACGGGCCGGAGCGGCGGGGCCGGGGCCGCTGCGGGCCCTGCGGGGGCAGCGCCGGGGCGGGCGCGGCCGCGCAGCTGGCGGGGATCGGGGGGCAGAGCGAGCGCGCCCCGCCGCCCCCCCGCTCCGGGCTTGTGCAGCTGCAGCTCACAAGTCAGGAACAGTCCCAGGGTTTGTTTTGCTTATGAAAAAAAAAAAAAAAAAGTGTGTGAAGAGTGGGGGGAGAAAGAAAAAAGTTGTGAAACTGGTTTTTCAGTCTAGGAGAGGTTCCGCAGGCTCAGGGCGGTAACGAGGGGCTCGGGACCGGCCCTCCAGACCTCGAGATTTTATTTTTTTTGTAGTTTTATTTTGGAGACCTAAAAACACCCAGAGAAAACACTGCAGACTGAGGAGACTGGCCAGAATAACAGATCACTGAACTTTAGGATGCCTGTTAACTTCCTACACAAACATACTCAACTTTTGTCTCGCTAATCTGCCCTTGATCAGCAGTTTAAATGCTAAAGCTTTGTTACTTAAAAAAAAAAAAAAATTACCGACCCTAGGAAAGCAGCAGAGTAATGAAGTGCACCACTCCGGCTGCGGTTACTCTGGCCGCCCCCGAAACTGCTACTAAGGGCATTTTTCACTTTCTAATAAATGCTTTATGCAAGCAGGACAACCGAGAGATAATATAGGAATCAATTCATAAAGCTTACTCTAAACCGATTAATTTGTTGCCTTCAATCCAGAGTCCAATAAACTCCCGGTGTTCCTCTAGTCACTTATACTATAAAAAGATCAAGTTATTTACTGCCAATTAAGCAGCATGTTTTGTCTTTGTCCTTTGTAAGCCGTATGTGCTCATGCCGAGGCATCTGGCTATCTGCTAAGGACCTTCAGACTGATACGTCCAGAGCAGAGAGGACGAACTTTTCCTGCCACTGGCCCAACTCGGCTGCAGGAGGAGAACTGAGGCCGATTTAAACACACATTTCCTCAGAAAGAGTACCTGGAGGTATGTCCAGTGACCGCACAATAAACCAGGAGAACTGCACCAATTAAGCTGTAACAAAAACCCCGAGACTTTGGAAAGAAAACCACTCTAAAAGCCATTAGCATTGCATTTATCCGAACGCATCGTATACCTTTATGTAAATTGATTTCTGATGCATTTGTTCAAGGAATTGCCTTTTGTTACAGTTTTCAGCTACAGCCTAAATGAATCTGCATTTCCTGCTCCAAGTCTTTAAACCGTTTCCCTACGCTTTAAATCACTTCGGGTATCTTAAAAGAAAGAAAAAGGCTCCATGCCACCACCTTAGCCCGTCTTTGTCGAAGGCAAATATGTATAAATATAAAATGGGAAACGTTACACTGAGAAAACCATCCAGTAACCCCATTAAGCTAAAGCTCTTAAGGACAAGCAATACCTTAATGCTGATTAAATCTAAAAAGATGAATCAAGAGGACTGACCAGAAAGTGACTCCCTTGATAACTAAGGACGGGCCCTCATCAAGTTTCATTTAGAGTTGAGGGGGGGAAGCTTTTAACTTAAATAGGCTTACTCTAGTAATTACACAGCCAAGCAATTTAGGTCCTGGGATAGGAGTCAGTGAAATAGAAAGCAGAGGTGGAAGCTAGAGGCAAAATACCCCCCCCCCTTTTAACAGCGTCTCTGGTGCTTTTTTAATGGAGACCAAGGGAGGGACAAGCGGAGAGCTGGCAATTTGTAGTGCAAAAATGGATGCTTAATTCATGTCTTGGTTTTAATTAGGTGATTCACCGAATTTCTCCTGGATTGAAACAAAAGACCGTGTGGGGGGCAGGAAGGGAACCGGAGAGGAGAGAAATAGAGAGCTCACTTTGATCTTTTCTGCCACTGTTTCAGAACAGTGTTTACTACGGGCGAAGCGGGTGTCCCAGCGCCCAACCCCCCCCACCTCCCCGTCCCCTCCATTCACAGCCGAGGCAAGCAGAGCCCTTTCCCGGCTGCAGCTGGGAAGGGGGGTAAGGAAAGGCGCTCCAGCGGCCGCCGTCGCCAGGCTTTGTACGCGGGGCCGCGACAATGCCCGGGGCGCCCCGCTCCGCGCCCCCCCGCCCGGCGGGCACCGCGCACACGAACGCTGGGAAACGCGGGGGAGCGACCGGCACTTCTTACCTGCTTCCCCTCTATATTGCAAAAGGCCGGGGAGCGCCGCTCGGGGTGCCTGAAGAGGTCTCCTTGCAAAGAAACAAGCACAGCGCTCGCCCTCTCGCCGGCTGTCGGGAGCGCTGGAGGGAGCCCCCCGCCCGGCAAGGGGCAGCCCAGGCTGGAAAAATATAGATATTGCTATGAGAGGCGTCTGCCCAGGTCCTTCCTCCCGCTCCCGCTTCCCGGGAGGGGAGCTGCAGAGCTCGGTCCCCGCCGCTGAGCCGCACACGCAGGGCGCCGCCGCCGCTCGCTGCTGCAATCGCCGGGCAAGTTTGGCAATGTGGCTTCACTTTGTGCCTCTTCCCCCCCCGCCCCCCCAACCTCCGCCCCCTCTCCGGGCTGCGGCGGCTCCCGAGTCTCCCGCGGCGCGGAGCCGGCCGGCCGCGGCCCGCCGGGGCGCCTCAGCGGAGCAGGCGGGAGCCGGCGAGTTTGAGCGGGGCTGGGCGCGGAGCTGCTGCCGGGATCCGGCGGCGGCGGCGCTGGCGGAGGGCGAGGGGCGGCCCCTCTGCCCGTCTGAGCGTGAGGGTGCGGGTGCGAGCGTGCCCGTGTGAGTGCGTGTGTGCCCGCACGGTGCGCGTGTGCCCGCTGCCCTCACACATGTGTTACTGACAGAGCAGAATCCCAACTACACTCCGGCTCGGCGCCCCCGTCAGCCCGCCGCAGCCAATCCGCCCCCGGCTTGTTCAGGCGGAATAATAAAACCTGCCAATCCCCGGGAAGACAAAGGAATGAGTGAAAGGGGAAGGGAAAAAAAAAAAAAAAAAAAAAAAAGGAGAGGAAGGGAGGGGGCGAGGAGGAGGAGGAGGGGAATGGAGAGGAAGGAGGGAGTCAGGTGGGCAGCTCTGGCCGCGCCGCCCGGGCACTGAGCGAAGGCGTGTGGCCGTGAGGGCGCCGTCCGCCCCGCCTCGCTCCCCTCCCGGCCACCAGTTGAGAAACTTGGCGGCGAGAGCCCGTCCCGGCTGTCCCCGAGGGCAGGCCCGCTCCGCCCGGGCGGTGGCGTCCCTCGGAGCCCTTCCCGGGCGCTGGGCGCTTCCCCCGCCGCCGCGGCCCCGCCGGGCCGGGGGGAGGCGCCGAGGGGAGGCGCGGCCGCGGCAGCCGCTCCTCGCCGCCTTCGTGGCGCCCCCCGCTGCCCGCGGCCGGCTCCGGTGCCCGCACCCCGTCCTGGGGTGCCGCGCCAGGGCGGGGAGAGGCCACCGGAGCCGTGTCCGGCTCGCTCCGCGGGCGGAGGGGCCGTGCCGAGCCGCTGGCTGTCACACGTTTACCCGCTGGAGCCGAGGGAGCTGCGCTGCGGGACCCAGGCGGGCACGGCCCGCTGGGGCCGCCCCTGTGGAGGTTTCGGAGGGTTAAGCAGCCGCAATTGGCAGAACGGCTCATCAGCAGGGAAGGCAACAGCCCGGGGAGAAGCCCGGGGCTGACGGCAAGTCGGAACAAGTAATGTTCGGTGGGGACACTCAAAACCGTGAAAGAAACATCACGCATTAAACTGTCTGTGAGGCCTAAGCGCAGCACCCAGGATAAGCAGAGCACCGAATCGCTGGAACAGACGCCAGGAATAAGTGTCCCCGCGTGCGGGTGCTGTCCCCCCGCGGCCGGCGCTGCCCGGCACGGGGACACGCGCACCCTGTCACCCCGCCCGGGGCGGCGCAGCCCCATCAGTGGCACATTCCCGGGATCTGTGAAAGGACAGAAAAACTTCATAACACGAGTTTCTCGATTCCAGAGCGCTGACGTCAGCAGCAGCCAATGCAGCGCTGGCCGGACGGCAGCAGCGCCCGGGTCGCGCTCGACGTGCGGCACAACCAGCGCTGCCCCGCGGGGAGGGCAGGGCAGAGCAGAGGCCGGGCAGGGCTGGGCTGGGCTGGGCGGCCTCGCCGCCCGCGGGCACGTTCGCCGCCGTGCCAGGCAAATCCGCGGTGACGGCAGCGGGACTGAGCTACGAACCCCGTGCGTCCCCCCGATGTCCGAGGCAACAAAGTGTTTTAAACCTGCTCCTGCCGGCGGCTGACGCAGACGCGGTGCCCCGCACAGGTACGCGGAACTCTTCCCGGGAGCACTTCCTAAAGAGTAAGTGTCCCGGCACAGGAATGCAGCCCGCCCGCTGACAGCCCGGGTGCGCCCGGCCCGGGAGCCGCAGCCCAGGTGTGCCTTAACCACATCGCCACCTGTGGGCCTCCCGTATCCCTGCAGCCCGGCCTGCCCGGCCACCGAGCCGTGAGCCCAGAAACCATCTGAAGCGGAAAGAAAAACTGTCTACCTCGGAAAAAATAATCTGGGAAGACGTAGGGTAGTGTAGATACGGTTTGCTTCTAAATATATAGGAAATAAAATATTGAAATCTAAATGACACCCCGGGAATGATTTAAACGGAGGAGAAAAGTCTATTTCTGTCTTTCTCCATAGACTGGGATATGTTCAGAGTCTGCGTAAAGTGGACTGGAAGCTCATGGAAAGCTTCCAGAGGGAAAGCAGGGAGAGGACCAGTGTTGTGGTTAAAAATAATTTTTAGCATAGGCCTATGAAATATATCATCTGGATGTAATCTCCATGTACATATTACATTTAAACATACTCAGCAGTTTTAGATTTCTTATGTAGGATCTGGTACAATTTAAAATATATAAAGTAACAAGGCATATTACAGATAATCAACAATCACTGATATTTTAGCTCTCTGACAGCTAAGAGCACAAGAATAGAGCAAATGCCAAGCTAAAATAAAATCTAAGTTGTCTAATTATCTAAGCCTGTAATGGCTAGAAGCTACCAAATTCAGACTCTGGGAGAGCCATTAGGACCTCTGCTTATTGGAAAAGATACTCTACCAAGAAACTCTGCCATAGGCACTAAAATGTTTACTAGTCTTAAAACTGATAGTGATACAAAAAATGGGAATTACCTTCTCAAGCAGCAGAGTTTTAAATGCCTTAATGATATCTTCCAAATAGCATTACAATCTTCATATCTTTTTATGAAATCTAATTATCACTAATTTTTGTGATTAATTTTAACAGAGGAAACCTTAACTGAGAACATTTTGCAGAGCAATATTTTTCTAATTTTTCTTTTGTGCAGCATCTGCTGTTGCTGTGCTGTCATCTTCGTTATGTTTTTCATTGTCTATGTGCCATAATGTAATTAGTTAGTTCAACATCATCTGTGCTATTAGATGAGATGTTTCTATGGTAAGTTAACATAGTTCTGTGTAATTGGTAGATTTCAGCAGTAGGCATGAATATATCCATCAACTTTAGGTCGATTTGAGTCCACAAGATTTAAATTCACTTGGCATACGTTACCCTAGAAGACTGTTAATTTTGGCTGAATGGATAAAAAACACAATGCAGAAGAAAATCTGGCTGCTTGTATCGCGGTACTGTTTGAGTCAGGGAAAGGAAAGCATAAAATTGCTGGCTTAGTAGTTGCAATCTGAATGTCTGGAAAATGTTATAGCCTGTGATCCAAATCGTTCTTAAACCTAGACGTGCCCCTAAGATAGCAGGTAGTCCAGAATTCATCAGGGTTATCTCTCTGTTCATGAAAGGAGTCTTGGTTCTCTCCCTAAATACTGCATTCCTATGGGACCTCTAGGTTCTCTCCCTGCATACCTAAGGGACTCTTTTCCTTTTCTCATTAGAGAGAAATGTTGAGGCTGCTGCTTTGAGATCTTCCATGTGGCACTTTGCTAATCCACGTGCCTTGCCAGCTATACCTTTTGAACAAACAAACTTTTAAAACAAACTTTCTGACCCCAGTCTCTCCAGAAGAAGTGATGAAAAATCAACAGCCATTTCTTACTTTAAAGCAATGCATACTTTTACTCAACATAGAATCATCCAGTTTGGGCCTCAAACAATTTAAAAATGTGTCTGGATTAAGTATTTAAGTTGGATATCTAATGATACAGCAGAGTCATATCCTGTCAGAAGCTGGGAAGAATCCTGGATGGCTTAGAGCATTCTTTTCTAAGCAGTAGACAGTACTATTTGCCCAAAAGAGTAAGGTAAGTCACTTTTAGAAATCTGTGCATAGATTTAACTTGCTTATAAATACATGAGTAACTTTATTCACAGTAACACAGAACCATGGGAGGTAAGCACAGTTTGCTTAGGTAAGGGCTTGCAAGACCCTTTTATCATCACTGTATCCATAACTTAGGGCAGGAGCCAAATAAGATAAATGTCAATAATTATATATATTTATATTAACGATAAAGTCCACTTTTGGAAGAGCTAAGGCTATATTTGTAATGACCTCATATGGCTAAAATTACATTCACTAATTTGTCCTGTTCACATTCCTGTTGGGAGAATAAATATATGACCACAAGCCATCAGTAGGTAGCAGGAAGTCCTGCAAGTGAGTTCTGCAACTAAATCAAAGATATCAGAGTTTGTAATTCTGTGTCTTTTTTTTTTTTTTAAATTGAGAATCTCTAGAGGCCTGTAGGAATATGCATATGTGATAATAAGTTCACTACATAAAAAAAATTTAAAATTGGAAATGTTATATCAATTTTGAAAGAGGGCTTTAAATTCAACAATCTAATAAAACATTTTTTAAGCAAATAAGTTAAAATTAATTTGATACTCTTAAACATGTACTGACAATTGATTTTTGTGATGACATATCTGTAGAGTGATATTTTGTCACAAATACAAATATTTTTATGATTCATATGTCTCCATCTTTAACAAGGAAAAAAACCCCTTTGACTTACAAATATAAACTCATATAGAACTTACCCTTTAAGGTAAAAAATGTTTATTCACAGATACTTTTATAGAACTGGCATTAATATGTTGCCTCTATTCACTAGTCACTTTAACAAATGGCCAGGTTAGAGGATGGGACAGCACAATTTGATTGTTTGAAGGCCCAAATTGTAGATAAAAGTAGCTATGGAGCTACTTTAAATTTACCATACAAAAAAGAACAACTGCAAGAGAATTAAAAACCATAAAAATCTGCCTCAATCAACTGACAAAAATGTGCTTACCTAATGCAGAGGTACATACTTATATCACTAGCATTTATGCAATCTGTTACAATGAAAAATGAAAACTTAGTTCAAGCCTATACTATTTAATTAATTAGCCAAGTAACCTTAAATATGCAGAGGAAATTAGTATGCATGAGTGAATAAACAGCATGTTTAATATTTTTTGATGATGTTGTCCACACAAAATACATTTATAATTGCACTGAAGTTATTTTCAAAGGTGTGTGTCCAATAGCAAATCCTGTGTCATTAGACTATCTGTATGAGTGTATCCAGGAAATGAGTTATTTACATGTAACTCCTCGCCATGGAGGAGTACATCTGATATCCTTGTGAAGTTCCCATAACCTCTAAATGGTGTAATTTACAGAAAGGTCCACGACCAATGTTTTCCACCTATTTTCCACCTATCCACAGAGAAGACCCTTGTGATACTGGCTTGGGCTGTAGTAAACCAGTGGAGGAACATTTGCTCGAGCTGTTTTCTCTGTAGGCCTTGAGGGGATGTTCACAACCTAGAATTTCGTGGGGTTTTGCTCTATGATACCTCATTGATGGGAAGGCACAGTTTTAGCTAATACGTCTAAATGTCTGGAGTGACTCTTTCTGATGGAAATTTGACATTGGCCTTTGTTTCAAAAGGCTGAGGGAAAGCAAGGTACGGACTGAGAACTGAAACACACACATAACAGAGATCCCCTTGTTAAGTTGTCTTTTCAATTTAAGGGCTATGAGCACAGTATAAGAAAATGGAGGATTACAAAAATAAAGAGGAAGAGCAGCCTGGTGACTTGCATCTGGCAGAAATGCCTCTGTCGTATTTCATTTGAAATTTACATAGATGCCAGTAGTTATGACACAACTGTCACTTTAAGTTCACTTAACTGGACATGAAACAATAATGACAAACAATCAGAATGACAGTTCTCCTTCTATTCTGCAGTGAGGTTCTTCATATCTCAATTCTGCAACAATCGTTCTGTTCACTCCACCAGACAAATGTGCTTCTGTTATTATGATTTCCCTGTTTGACTCGATGCAGCTTTGCTGAATGTAAGAAGGAGAGTTTCTAAGCTTTCTATTAATTTTTTTAGCTCTACCATTTATCAAAGAGAGCGGTTTTTCATAACAGTTTTTAACATTAACTCTTTAATAGTTACTTGAGGATGTAATTCATTATTTGAAAACATTGTATTGCATAAGAATATTACATTATTTTTCATACAAAAATATAGCTCTCTTCTCTTCCTAAGTTGTTTTTCAAAACTGGAGCGACTCCTGTACTCCATGACCATAACTCTTTTTATCATTCTACTATGATTCAGTAGCTTTCGCTGTCTTATAAACAGTCTTACAATTAAGAGCTAATGTTAATGGAATAGATTGTTGTCATAGGATAATGGTTTCCTGCTGCTAGATAAATGCTGTGGCAATGCTAGGACATTTATTGAAAGTAATAGTGAAGACAAAGCTAAGAGATTTATTTTTAAAGCAGGTGCCACAGATCCAGTGACACCATTCTGTTACAATTGTTTTATTTCTGTTTCACTACAAGGCTGATGAAGATGGAAGCATTTTGCCTGATGTATGCAAGTGCAGCAAAGTGACAGTGGCTTATTTCACTGTAACTGAATAAGCTGCATTGCACTTGGCTCGGGAAGAGATTTATCGTGTGGCTCATCCAATCAGAAAACAGTTTATCCATTAACTATGGCTTTAAAATACATTGCATTTCCATCAACAAGATGGGGCTTGATGCTTTCTTTCACAGAAACAGTTAGGCAGAGTTCACAGAAAAGGAGGAAAGTGGGGTCCTACGGTGCTTGCTCCACCAGTCTGTTCCAGAAGCCCCACTTTCCCTCTGTGCCACAGAGACAGTAGGCTGGGGAGAGTGAACGTGCATGTTCTCCTCCTCCTGAATCAATGGTTCCTTCTGCATTGGAGGAGGGTGTTGCCTCAGCGTTAGCAGAGCAGAAATGGCAGCGTTATTCTTACCAGCAGTTTGTCTAGAATCTTGATGTTTTGGAAAGTGTGCCTTCCTTTTCCATGACTTTTAAAATTGCTCACCCCTAAATCCTCCAATGAAGAACTGTGAAAAGCAGAGCCTGTAGAACTTCACAGGCTCTCTATCTACTCTTGTAGAATTGCAGAAAAACACCTTGATTACCCCAAATGTACAACTCCTACAAAATTGGAGTCAATTGTCAGGAAGTACATGGGATCCATTCTGGTCAACAAGCTTTCTCTGGACAGATATGCCCTCTTTTCCTGACTTAGGCTTCAATAGATCCTTTGTCTTCTCTTTTGAACTGTGGAGCAGCTATTCCAAGTGGCAGTGCTGTAACTATGACAGCTTGAGGATATTCCACAAGTAATAAAGAACTTGATCCCTTCCCACAAACTCTGATCATTCCAAAGCATCTTTAAAGTTATGTTGTAAAACAGTGTAATGACTTTATATAAGTCTCTGCTAGGATTTCCTTAAGAAACAAACTAATTTTATTATTAAGGCCCATGGACCTTGACATCAAACCAGCAATTCACTGCTCCAAGGACTTACTCTCTGTAGCTGCTCACACCACAGCTCTGAAATAACTTCTAAGACCAGAGCTTGAAGGCAGTAAACAACTTTAACCTTTTCTTGACCCCAGACACATCTCTCAAACAGGAGTTCAGTAAATGCATAAATTTCACTTTAACCCCTGTGCAGACATTCTGAGAACTAATTCATTCTTCATTTTCTGAGTTTTAAGAAAATTTTTATACTAATAAATGGGCAAGTGTTACAGCACTTGTTCCAAAGAGCTATCAGATAAGGTTAGTCCTCTGCTGAGTGTAGCTCCTTATGAAAGGCGAGCCCCAGAGAGAACATCGTGGAGAAAAGCAGAAATGGGAGAGACCTGTAATCCCGACAGAATGAATCCTGGCAGCCGTGAGGTCTGTTGGGTCATCTGAAGAGCACACTCCAGCAAATACATATTCTTCCAACTAAATCTCCGCAGCAGCAGCTGTGTATCAGACCTCAGACCTCATCTTCTAATGCTTGTGCCTTCTGGTATCAATCTCCTATCTGAAGTTTAGGATTCACAGGAACAATCTAGGAGATGGAGAATTTCTGCATCTTTAAAACACTGGAGTCACTTACCCAAGTATCTTTAAGGATGTGACTGTAAATACTGTAAAGTCCTGTGATTTTATCAAAATATTTGGTGTACTAAAGTCCCAGTTCTGGAAATGGTCTAAATACAAACCTGCTTTAAACCTTTTTAATAGAAATGTTGAATTTTCCTGGTTAGGTAAAAACATTAATTCTTAAAGATCAACCAGAGACAAATAAAGATAATTTGTTCCCATTTAGTATTTTATTTAAAAAATGATTCCTCATTTGATCTAATAAATAGTGAGGAGTCATGACTTTCGAATTTTTAGGATTGCCAGTACAGTAACCAAATGTCCTATCACCACATACTGAATCCTCCTCACTTCAAGGAATTATTAAACCTGTTTTTTCAATAGGTTTCTCCACATCGCACAGGACTGCACATAATCAATATTTCACTTCCATACCACGGACTGCCCCCTCCAGAGGGCCAGAATTCCCCATGGCAGTTATCCTATCTTAAAGCAAATCCCCAGCCTCTTGCAGCTCTCTTGACTAAGGCGGCTGTGTATACCCTGCCTGGATCTGGCCCAGATGCTTTATTTCTATTGCATGAGATGATTAATTATGTGGTTTTTCTTCTGTTTGTCTGATAGAAGCTGAGGTAAGAGAGTGATGGTTGCTTAGTGCACTATTATTAAAAAGCTGCTTTTGATAGCCCTGAACAGGCTTGAGTTGTGTGCTACAGCTAATCATAAAGCTGCTTGCTTGGAAATGTAATGCTTGTTAATACTATACTGTACTTTTATAAGTAAACGAATTTTTGATTGGCTAGAGTTTAACTATAATCAGTAATTAAGGGTCAGCCATCCAGTAAACTCATTAGTTTACACCAATTACATTTGGTATAGTAACTAATGATTTCAGGGATCAAGCCATTTATTTCTAAGCTTTCAAAGTATAATTATTGTGTAAATCAGATAGAGTGTAAATCTTTTCCATACGTTTTGGTTGGTAATTGAGAAATAAAATGGTTTCCAAATGTATTCTCTGTCCAGTTTTTGTTCTGCAGTAGATCTCTCTGGGGACTCTTTAACGTATATGGAAAAGGTGATGTCAACAGAAGTGTACGCTGGGCAAACTGAGACAGGATTAATTAATAGAGATGAAAGAGAAAAGCCAGCCCCTTGCAAATCATAGTCCAGGCCTCAACTTGGACATCACACCTTAAATGACAGTTTACAATCTTAAGCGTGAGTCACACAGATTGACAAGTATTCAAAATAGGAGAGAATTGAAAATCCTTTCTGTTTAATGTATAAAGGCCTTTCCAATATGCAGTCTTTAAGATGGTGTAATCTCTGGAGTCTTTTGCTTTGAAGTTTAATATGTAGCTCTTCACATCCACATAACATTTTCAACACATTAAACAAATTAGTCTCTGGTTACAGAAGTTTTTAGACATTTACAAGTTGCCGTTTAACTAAATTTAATATGTGCCAGCGAAGTTGCTCATACACTTGTTCATTTAGAAAAATGCACTTTTGGAATGATTAATAAATAAACCAGCCTTTCCTATGCCTTCAACTTTGGTGTTTATTTGAAAGCAATCTACTTTAAAAAGACATTAATATCCCTAGAATTATTATTAGAATAATTGCTTTTACTCTTCTTGGAACACACATTTTTTCTCATTTCCCTTCAGCACAGACAGCTTTTGACTCAGATATAAACTTCCTATTATTATTCCCCACTCCCCACCCCAAAAATGAAGAATAGGAATTATACAGTTTTCACTAAGGAATAATTAATTTGTCTCAAGTATTAGAACAGAGAATTATAGAATGACTTTGAATGGTAGTCTCTAAGGAATAGCATTGTTTGTTCTCTTCGGTCTTTAATGAGCTTTAGTAAATGGCCAGGAAAAATTACCTTCTTTCTGTAATATGAGAGAAGGGAAGAATGAAGGAAGCTATAGAATCCCTGGGAGAAAGACGAGCAGACACACACACACACAGAGCCCCCTGTACCACATTGCTTCCAATGGTTAGTTCTCCTTTGGAACTGAGCACTAGAGCTCGAGTTTTCCATTACAGTTAAAACATATAATGTCCCTAACATTTTTGTAGGAGAAAAAATTCCTGGATGTCTCCCACACACTGACAGTGTCTGGCTTATATTGGGGGACAACTGCCTATAGCTGAGCTCTGGAAGTCATTCTGGCTTCCTCTGCTTTGGCATTGACTTTGTCTTTTAAGATTTCTTAGTCTATTTTTGTTGCATTTCCACCTTTAAAAGCAATTTCCCTTATAGTGCCCCAGCCTGCTGCCTTGTCTTTTAACAGACTTCTTTTCCCTCCACCACATATTTGCTGCCACTGCTTTCCAAAATGATAACTGAGGCAGCAGTGGCAAGTGCTTGCTTCAGCTACAACTACAAACCCGTCACCATGGATAACAGAATACACTTCAGGAACACCTTTTCCATCCCTTTCCCCCCACCCAGCCTCCACACATGTCCTCACTTCATAGTCCCATATCAAGTCAGTGGTGCTGAGGCAGCTGCCATTGCTGCTCTGGGGTATTGAGCGAGCTGACCCACAGCAGTCAAGAGAGACCAGCACAGTTCTAAAAGGATCTTGTCAAGCAGGGTCTCTCTCCAGTCCATCCTGTTGAAGTTATATCCCGTTTGAATAATTAAATATTAACTGGATTGCCCTGTCTGCTTGCTCTCAAAGCATTGCTGAAAGCAAGAAGCCTGGGGTTTGTTACCCTCTTTCAGGGAACACTTCCATACTTTGTATTAAGTATTGACTGGGGCAGGCCCTGGCAGACCTGGTTTCCCTGCTCCAGGTGAGTGCCTCCACTACAAGGCTGACAAGTCAAGCTCAAGCTTTCCCACTCGAAGAAAGGACTCAGGTCACCCTCCTTACAGAAGAGTTGATAATGTCTTGGGTAAGGTGCTAATTCAGGGGGCAAGAGATTCAAGTTCAAATTGCCTCAGGCACAGGCTGAATACAAGTCTCCTGTATCTTGGCTAAATTGCATCAGCCAGGAGATTGAACCGCAAAAGCTTGGGAGAGGAAGAGAGGCACAGGAGCAAGGAGGAGAGACGTGCAGAAGGTGACAGTACTGTCATTATTCTGTGAGAAAAACCTGGCACAGGCGTCCAGTTCCTAGAAAGCAGCAGAGCAAGCGTGGTAAGTAGGTAAAGCAACACTCGGTGTTACAACACCTTAGTCTGATTGTGGCTTTGGATCATGGGAGGTGCTCTCATGGCAGACATCAGATTGCTGACTAGAGTTCAGGGTCACGAGGGATGTGAAGGGAGATGATGAAAGTGGGGAGAGCTGCCTGGACCCATCCCAGACATTTAGGGGAAAGATAAAAGTAAAAAGCTGCTGCCAAAGTAAAAATAATTTCTCTCTATCACAGGCTCTCTTCAGTGCAATTGTAAGAGACGAATAAATGGAGAAAGATGTTTGAAAGATAGATAGGAGACAGTGAGGACAGGACTAGTAAGTGAGGCAGAAATGTTGGAAAGAAGACAAAGAGGAAGAAACATCAGAAAGCAACAGGAAGATTGGACAAAGAAAAAGGAAAAACCATAACTTACCAAGACACTTCACCTCTCATTGCCTCAATCTTCTGGCAATAAAATAATAACAGTAAGAGAATCACAGAGCATTTCAGTGACTTTGAAGCCCATAAATATTTAGGAGACAGTTAAGTGTCCTGGTGATCAGGATTGTGTTAAAAAGAAAGCAGGAAAATTTAAGAGAATGTTCTAACATGTCTAAAGCACTGCTATCAGAAGGAAGAAAAGGAACAGGACTTATGGGCTTCATTTTGTATGTGTAACTGAGTATTAAAATCCACACCCAAGCACACTGGTGCTTCTTAATAGTAGAAAAAATTGGGCCTGTTTCAAACCAGTAAGAACACATGGTTTAAGGCATGCAGCCGCTCTTTCTTCACTAACAACCCACTGTGACTCCTATAATTTATTCCTCCCAAGATTCATTTGAACATCTGCAGTATCATTATTTGAGTTTGTTATACTATTAGCTTTAAAATTTTATAAGCCATACAGTAGGATAGGTGACAAGTTGAAAAGTTAAGGAGGGTTAATTTAGAAGTTTTAAAGCAAAGCTATTTTTGAGTTATACAAGTAAAAAAAAGCATCTGAATCCAAACCTCCATGGTTACATTTAAGTAACTCAGAAACTGCTGAAAGGATTTTCTTCGAACTTCACTCAAGACAAATCCCTCTGGGCTAAGACCAAGCATGAGAATTTAACTCAAAAGGTGATTGTTGTCTGAAGGGAGTTTTCTTTTTCCTTTTTTTTTCCCCTCCCCTCCTTTTGCTTGTTTTGTTTGCAATGTTCCAAAAAAAATAAATAGCACTGAAAAAAAAAAAAAGGATGTGGAGTGTAACTGTTTCATATCCATTTTATCATTATAATAAGAAAAATGCTGCTCATAAACTACCTTTTTATTAAAACCAGACCCCCTGCTTTGCCTTTAGCCATTACTAGCAGTCTTGATACCCACCTCTACCAGGCACTGGATAATGCTGTAAGTGGTGGCTCAACAGAGAAGTATCAAGGTATACTCTCAGCCCCATCTGCAGCTTCTCTGCATGCTTCAGGAGCTCTGTGCAGCTCTAATATTACCCTAAATGGACAACTGAGGATTCCCCTTAACAGGCAGTCTTAGGAGAGCAGGCAATCAGCAGCTCTGCAGCACTCTTCCCTTCACTTCCCATCCCCAGTTCACGGGAGGTGAAGCATATTCTATACCTGTAGAGTGACCCAACCATGTTTTGATTTCTCACTGCTCCAGGATTTGGAATGTAAGAAATATAGCTGTAGTCATGCTTTTCTGGGCTTACTGACTGTTAACTTGGTGCACCTGGCACCATCATTCATTCTTGCCCTTCCCTTGCTGTGGCCAAAGGACTCACCTCCTAGTTGTGTAGCTGAAGGAACCCCTGTAAAGGAAGAACCTGAACAATGAAGATGGAAATTTCTGTCTTCTTTCTCAACATCCTGGAAGTCAGTCCTCTTTCATATCAGCATCATGGGTCCTGGTAGCCTGATTGTCTGGATTAAGAAAAAAGACAGTGGGGTTTTTTTCCCATCCTCTTTACTTCAACTTTCTCCCACATTTTGGTTTCTACAAATTGTCCCAGGGTAGACAACAGCCTTTCCCTTCCCCTTCTACCAGGTTTGTTTTTGATTTTCTGGCGGCACATCCCATAGTTATTCACTCATTTGTTTGTTTGTTTTTCCATTTGCAACTTTTGCCCCCTCCACAGAGCTGGCTTGCCCAGGGAAATTACAGTAACTTATTTAATTTCAAATGCATTCAAAAAGGAATTTTAATTGTTCCTTTTCATTTAGAGCAGCAACCAGATTTGGAATTTGTGAAAAACTGAAGGGGAAGGTTTGGAATATATTTGCTAAAATAATTCACCACATTTAACCCAGGCAACTCAGACATATGCAGAAACAGCTTCCCTTGCCTATCTTCCATATACATGACCTGGATTAAAAACTGCTTTGGGCAAGGGCCAACTCACTGTCTGTAGCCCTAACACAATGTGGCTTGCAAACTGTGGCAATACTGTAATATCTAGGGATTTGTTTCAGGAGATCCTGATTTTGGAACCAAAATATATGATAACTGCAAACTCAACAGTGGGAAATATAGCTGAAATGGGCATAGAGAAGAGCATCAGGAATTCAAAGTCTTAAATTCAGTTCTCCTTTATTTTAATATTGGGGAAATCTACTGTGGCAAAAGAGAGAGGCCTTAGAGTGGGTATCAGGATGTGGCAGCCTACAGAGGGAGGCAAATTTTGGCAAACATTGGGGAAAAAATCAAGAAAATTTAAAAAAATTCAAATCACAATATTTGAACAATCAGAAAGCTTTTCCATTCATAAATGTCCCATGTACTCTGTACCACCAAACTTCTGGGGTATCATTTTTCAGTCAGCACTTGGCAGTCAGCACTTTAAGCTGTCTGCTGCTATCTCATTCATACAGCTTTTTCATTGCAGGTCAATATTATCTGACTAGGTTCAGATTAAATCTTAATATACCGTTCATCTGAAAAACCTCAACTCCAAGCACATTGAAAAATTGCAAACATAAACAGTACAGTTTCTATGGATGAGGACATATTAAAATGTATTCCAAAGGGAAGAGTAGCAGGAAAAAGAGGAATGTGAAGTTATGATCATAGAGAAAAATGCCCTTTTTCAGCTGGGATTTTATGTAAGGAGAATGAATGAGGCAAAGAGAAGAAAGCTCTGTCTCCTCACTGCTGCTTCTCTAGCAAAGAGGATTTTCACATCAGCCATAGTAAAATCAAATAGAAGAATAGCAGATCTGAATATTGTATGGGAAAATGTGAAATGAGGAAGAGTTCAGTGCAGTTCAAGGATGGCAAAGCATAATGAAGGCAAATGGAAAGAGCTGAAACTGGAAGAGATGAGCTGATGGAACCTAATAGGAAGACACAAGTTTAATTAATAAAGACAGGCAGAGCAAGCTGAACAAAGAAGACTGATTTAAAATGTCAAAATATACCTTTAGTTGTGGCTGCTAAGGTAAAAATAAAGGTAACACATGTAGAAAGTTGAGGGGTGCAAGATTGGGCTTAAGGATGGCAGTGCTGAGAAGACCTGAAACTACAGAGAAGCTCCTCTCAGAGATGACAGCACTGTCTCTAGTGTTTATTGCTGCCTTCCAAATACTCAACATACTGCTCCATTAGCAAAAGAGATCACAAATCACCTCCTAATCTGTTTAAGTTAAGCCAGCCAGATTCATTTCACCTGGTGATGAACATGGATATGAGCTAACCAGGCTGGCTTTACTTGTAGTGCATTAGGGAATGCTTGTTTGGCCTCTTCTGATGGCAGAGATATGGGGAGGGACCAGGAGCAAGCAGCAAGCTGTGGTGTGGTTTTCAGCTAGTAAATGGTGTCTAAAGGCAGAGGGAAGGATAATATTTGGTCTAGGAGAACACGTAAGACTGGAACCAATACAGATGTGTGGAAGGATGCAAATTTCTTAAGTTGAATAAAACTCAAGGAAAAAGTTATTGTCAGGAATACAGAGAGAAAGAAAAGTTAATCTCTCAGCATCCCACTGATGAGAGTAAAGAACACTTGCAACAGATGAATTGGCACAGTTAGGAAGCACACTAAAAACTGACTATACCCTTATTTTACCTCTACTATACAGAGTGCTTCTGTTCTCCAAGATAGGTAGATCACGGGAAGTTTGTTTCACTTCAGCTACTGTTATAACAACTCACAGACCAAGAATTTTGGTTCTGAAAGTGTAGAGATTTTAGAAACATTAAAATAACATGAAACTGAAACATGGAAATATTCTCAGTAGTCCACCCTGTGTTGTTGCCTGTAATTATAGCTGAGAATCACAAATCAACATTTTGTTGAGAGGCCACCTCTTCTGTATTTTTAGAGGGACTGAAGCTCTAAAACCTTTGCCATTCCTTTTATATCTATCTTCTGTGTTATCGTATATATTGAGGCTCTTGATATTTGACCCAATAGGCCTTATGTTGTTTAGTTCTCCACCATTTACCTCCTTATTTTGGGTGCCTGTCATTCACATTTCTGTAAAGTTCAGCTGAAACCAGTAGTTCATGTTACTGGAACTTTGCATTACAAAAATTGAGAAGTAGAATTTGCAATCCAAGTCATTCACAGAATATTCTTATACAGCACATAATTTGCCAACAGCTAAATTAATCTTGCTTCACAATGTGAGGCTGTGTACATGTGGTTTTTGATACAAAATGGTCCAGTGAAATCAATGGTATGGGCATCATATTAACTCAGAACTAGCTTTTTCATGTCCATGAAGCTTAGTCATGTGCTTGCTAATTTAGAACTCAGAGGTAAGCAAGAATCTCAACTCTCCTTTTTAAACAGTGTGAATTTTCAATCCAATTTACCTTGCATAGATGAAAACATAAATCAGTAGCTGGTCTCCACTGCACATACTAATTTAATGAACTGGGGCTTTGACCACGTGTATTTACACTTTGGGAACCTGAAGACCTTTCCCTCTATACTGCATTAGGATTGGATGCATGCCAAAGAACTATCTATGATCTGAAGGGAGGGGGAAAAGGCAGCCTGGCCCACCAGTTAGCACCAAGGTCTAGAACAAGGGTATGAGACAGGTCAGGGGTCAAGCACCATCCATAACCTCCAGCTGATGATCAGTGGAAGTAATGCAAGTGCTGCTGCAGTAGCACCACAGCCCAGACAGAAGCCCCAAAGCACATTCCAGGACAATGTCTGGGGCACCACAATTTAGTTGGAAAGGTTTGTATCCAGAACAACATGGATGATCTAGAAAAAAGCTCCAAGAAGAGGGTGACACAAAAATTTCCTCAGACCTACATTTTAGCTCATTGCCTGTTATACTACAAAACAAAGCACATTTGGGGGTTTTGTCTAGTAGGTTTCCAAAAAAGGTGTATCATGAAAGGTCTGTCAGTATGCAAAATGAAGTTTAGAATAAAAAGAGGATCAATATTTATGCACAATCATGACTGCTTTGGCACCTAGTCATATTGGGTGACCTTTGTTGACATGACTGTGACCTGAAACAGAGACTCCAAAACAGCAGTGTCTCCTCAGCTCTGCCTCCTCTTTGCCTTGTCCCAATGACCATTGACCCAGAGGGATGAAGCCTCGCACTAATCATTCTCAGACCTCGATGCAAGTCCATTCATCAACAGTTCCCTTCTGCTGTTCTAGTCTAAACCAGTTCTCTTCACACACTTGTCCAGGCAACAACACATCCACTCCCCAGTTGTTTCAGATGTGCAAAACAGTGAAAATAGACTTCTCTGAGCAGATGTTCCTGAGCAGATAATCTCAAAAACATGACAACAAATGTCAGGTGTCTTTGGCTTCACAGAGAAGGTTGAGGTAAAGCTGGAAAAAAGCAGAATAAAGGCAATGGATAGGGGTAGAGTATAGAAAAACAAAATGCTGCTGGAACATCAATTCATCATACAAAAGCAGAAACTGCAAGAAACATTCAGGAAGGGCTTCTACTGGTCACCTCTGGTTATGGTGAGACTCCTCCCTCTACCCTAATCCCAGAACTAAATCTGTCAGATTTTGCTTAGGTGCCAAAGGAGAAAGGAAATTATATTAACCATCTCTGTGAATCTGAACAACAGAATTAGTAATGATCTTTACACTTGAAATTTATTTTAAAAGTGTATTTAGCTTCACTTATCAGATCACGCTTATTAAAAAATCAAAAATTAGAAGTTCTGTGATGTGAGAACAAGTTACACTGAGAATGAAAAGTCAGCACATCCCCAGCCTATGGGATGGGAGGTCCATCTGCTATCAACATTTAGGAAACATACTTTGGGTGGAAAGTTTCCTTGCAGCCTCAGGCTTTGTTAGAGTAATTGAGTTTAGCTCTTAAGATCTTGTTCTATCCATAACTCTAGTTCAGAGTACCTCAAATCTAAGCCTTGCCAAGGACCCTAGTGCACTGCCCTCAAAAGAGGGTAGTCCTGTATGCTGGGGTCTCTTGGTGGAGTCATGCTGAACGCAAAATAACTTTGCACAGGCACAGAAATTCCTGCTGTCAGGTTCCAGATCATAGTATAAATAAAGCTTGTCCAGAAAACACACATACAGGTTTTCTGCCTTGATGAAAAGCCAGCAGAAACAATTTGATTATATTTCTTTCTCTCTTAGCTACACAGGAATGTCATTATTTTTGCATATTTTCATTATGCAAAGTCACATTGGACCCAACAGTGTAAGTATCCCCTTCATTCTGCTGGTGTTTGGCTTCTTATTAGAAATGTTATCAGAAGGTAAACACAATGCACAGGAAGGTTTGCTGCAGAGTAACAAGGTTTTAATACCATACCACACCATGTCGACAACTCAGAAATGTTTTAACAGGGTAAAAATATTTTTGGTAATTACAAAGAAGCAGAAAGGAAAAGCATCCCCTCAAGCTGACAACATACATTTTATACAGAAAGAGACAAGATATGAGACCATGAAAATTGCACAGACACAAATATTTGAGATGTAACTGAGAGGCAGAAAAATATATTAAAATGATCATTGATTGAGCAACATGGAAAGAATTCTCTCAGCAGGAAAAAAAAGATTTTTTCAGGTCTCCAAGAAAGCACAACAGACACAGTTTTTGTGACAATACATAACACTTCCACCTGAAATTTTACAGCCACTTTTAGATATTGATGCCTGTCTCTTTTGATATAGCTATTATTGCTTTTTTTTACACATAGAGAAACCAGGTTTCCAGAATGACTAAGAGCCTTTCTTAAGGTCAAACTGTAAGTCAGGGACAAAGACTAGTTCCCCCCAATCTTATTCTCAATCTACCCCATTAACAAATTGTACAGCCATGAAAAACAATCTCTTCCCTGTGAAAAGGCAGGTTTTGTGAGGAGGATAACAAGTTCCACCTGTCTCTCCAGCTGATATTAGCAATAGTGAAAATTTCATTTTGCAGAAAAACTGCCGATGCAGCACTTGAAAAAAACCTCCAAATTCATGTGCAGATCAGAAAGTGCCGGCACGCTTTCAACAGCTGCAGCTACCACACACTTGGAGAGAGTCATCTGAACTCATCAGATCTGACTCTGGGACAGACAGCAAAGCCCAGATGGCTCGGCTGTACACAAAGCCCTCCTGCTCACGTGGGGCGCGGCATCGCATGGTTGGGGCCCCACAGATTTGTGTGGGCCCCAGGTTAAGACGGGACAGAGCAGTGCCGCAGCCCCACCGGCCCTCCCGCAGTGCAGGCAAATGGAGGATGCTGACAGGACATATGCACGTGCAAGTGTTTAAATAGTTGTTGTTGGGGACTACAGGAAAGCCTATAATAGACATTTTGCCTTGGGATGTTTTCTCTATTCGGTTGCAAAAAAAAAAGCAATAAGAATACACGCTACCCTGAAGGCCTTTCCTCTGCTTAACCAGACCCTTTATTATTACCCAGCTTCTCTCAGAACATACCCTTTCTCCTGACAAGCCTGTACTGCTCCAAAGGGCAAAGCTCACGTCTCAGGCAGGGGTTCTCAGTGCACACTTTCTCACCTGCCTGACTTCTCTTCACTACAGGTCAGACCCAGATAGATTTGAGGGTGTCTATCCACAGGCCATATAAAGCTGGCTGCTTCACCTGCACCAGGTAACCAACCCATACCCCAGCCCCACGCCCGACCCTGGTGCTGGAAACACCCATGGCACAAGGGTTTTCAGGAGTCCTGGCTGTCCACATCCCTGGCAGAAACCAGCTGGAGGAAGCTTGGAAAGCCTGGCCTTTTTATTCTCCAGAATTAAGACTCTGATTAGCTGCTGGCACAAGACCAAAACTCCATCTGAAATGCTTTAGACACCCATCTGCACTGGGTTTGGGAGTCTGAGAAGCGCATGCTGTGGCCCGCTCCTCACCCGTGCCAGGCAAAAACAAGGGGGAAATCAGGGGGTGAGGAGCTGGGTGGGGAGGAGCACCCTGGCCCCAGGCTCTCTATGAGGGCAATGGGAGCGCTCTCACCTGCACACACACACCTCATGCAGACCCTCCAGGCTGCCCCAGGCCTGCACATCTGCAGCCCATGGGCCTGGCCTAGGGGTCCCTGCTCACCCTGGAGGTCGCAGGCTGTGCCCTGGCAGCCCTGGTGCCTGGGGGCAGCCTGGGCTCTGCTCCTCCTGCACCGGCCATGGCTGGGGCCCTGCCCTCCCCTCTCCCTCCCAGACCCTCGTGGTCCTTCATGAGCACCTCATGATAAATTCCATAATTATTCAGCCCTTACTACCAACACTGAAATACATCACTCAGAGCAACTTAGCTGAGATTCATTAGAATAAGACGTCTAGTAGGCACATGTACTTTATTAGCCTCTTACACCAATAGTTTTAATTAGGTACATATTTCACAGCTCTGGAGCCGCTCGAGTGAAGGGCTGCTTTTATCTCTTTTATTTACAGTAACAAGCTATCAAACAAATACCACCATAATTAAACTCAGATGCAAAAAAAAAAAAAAGGCAGCAAAAACCACAAACAAAGAAAAAATTAATTTTTACCAATGGTGACCTACTCAAGCCTCGGGTTTGGTAAGCTTTGGATTTTTAATTGGTGAAAGAAATACCCTGCAGCAGGGCAGGGCACTGGGGCGGGTGTCCCTGGTCCAGCCCTGCCTCCCTGTCACCTTCAGGTGAGGAGGAGAGCGCTGCCTCGGATAGAGACCGCCGGGATGAGAAAAGTGATTAAAATCCAGAACGCTGCTAAATTATTAATGACGAATTTAAATGATGTTATAAAAGAGGGAAATACAGGCGAAAATGTTACACATTCATGGAATTTTTACTCATGCATAATAATAAGCTGAAAACACTTTAGTTATAATGCTTCCGAAATTACCGGGCGGGGGTGAGGGGCTGGCAGGGTGCGTTTCTCGGGCCCGCCCGCCCTCCCGCCACTCGGCGATCAAGGGCGCCACCTGGCGGGCGCTGCGGCGAACGGCGCCTGGCGCGGGGCCGAGGCCGGCGGGGCCGGGCGGGAAGCGCCATGGGCCGTGAGGGCCCGCGGGGCTCGGGGGGCTCTGCCCGGGCCTTGGGCCGCCGCCACCGGGGCAGGGGACGTGGCTGCGCCAGCCTCACTGACGGCCGTCACTCCCGCGGCCGCACCCTGTGTTATTTGCTTTCTCACCTGTAGCGCAGACAGGTTTTAACTTCTCAGGTGCTGGCAGAGCCCGCTTGCTTGGGGAGAGCAGCTTATCTGCATGCGTTCAACCGCCTCGTCAGCCTCTGGGGATAATGCTGCCTATGCTGTAAATAAAAATAAAAATATACATATATATATAATGTTGCAGGGAACAGCCATGTGAGAAGAGCTGCTTTCTGCCGTCTTCACATGTGGAACCCACCCTGCTCCTGGGCAGTGGAGTGGCTGCCTGGGGGGCTGTGTGCTCCTGTCCGAAACCCCACCGAGCTGCCTCCTTGGGAGCAACAGCAGCACCTGCGACCTGGAGAATAAATGGTTTTCCCAGGTCAAAGCTGCAAGTGGCATGTACCCCACAGAGCTGCATTTTTGTCTAAATGTCTATGCAGTCTTTTCTGTAAAGACTTCCCACACTGTCTCTCCACACTCCATAGCAAAGTTCTGTTTGTCTCATCTAAAGAGTCACATGGTCTTTGAGGGTCACATCTTTAAAGACCTATTTAAGGTTTTACACAATCAGGCAGGCATTTATATCATCTAGCACCAGTTCCACTCATCATTTTCCTCTTCCATGGCAGGGGAAGAAACCTGCAAGCCCATAAAACCGGAGTACAGCCTTAGCCACAAAGTCTCTCAGACTTGCATGTCCCTCTGGCTGAATTCCTTGGGGACATCCTGTACTTCCAGGTGCCTTTCAGTCCAATCAAGCTGGTTTTGGTAGTTCTGCAAAGCAGAGAGCCATCAGCTGATTATAGTGGCAGCAAATAAGGCAAGAACAATCCTAGGCCATTCTGGGCTGTAAAGTCTATACAAATGCTGGAAGTCCTGCTGAATGCTAACTGGCAGCTAGCACCAATTACTGAGTAATGGGCTCTCCACATGCCCCTTTACTTAATAAGTAGACACGGTCTGCACTCACTTTTGGAGCTCAGTTGTCTCTGGTTGTAACACCAGCTGAATGCTTTGCAGAGGGCCAGTCTCACACTGACTAAAGCTCAGATCGTTATAGCAAAGTCTCAACCAAAAGAAACTGCCACGCTCTTCCCAATTGGACCGGATGAAATAAAGGCTCTTGGACACAGTTCCTACCTAGGAGCCTGCCAGAGCCTAATAATTGCAACATGCTGTGATTCTAAAACAAATGTGTCATGGAGAGATACCCAGGCTAATTCCAAAGGAGGTAAATTTGCCTGGGTGAAACTCTTCGTTAGTACAGAGTTATTTCTTCCACGGCTCCAGCCGCTTCTGGTCCCTTTCTCTGTGTCACTGCCCAGAGTACATTTGCTATTGTGAGCCATGGATGGCAGCTGTGGTCCCTCTAGGCAAAGCAGAGACATTCAGATCAGAAACAAAAATTTGTGCTTTCTTTTCTCCTTTGCTTCCTATGAAATCTTCATTGACCATATTCTCATTATTCCTTTGCCTGGACAACACTACCTAAAATTTTTGCTGAACTTTGGGCACTATGGTGGCATTTTATGTCACAGGAGAACTGATTCTCTAGCTACATGGAGGTTCAAACCAGGTTTCTCTGAATGCTCAAGTGCCACATTTTCTCCCTAGATCTTCAAAGGAATATGCTGAAGGTAACAGAGAAAATCCCTGTGAAATCATGGTGTAAAAAGAAGTTACTGTTAAATAATCCCAAAGCATCTGAGATAATTTCCACAAAGAAAGCAGCATGGACCCCTAGAACACAGTTCCTATACATCCATATTAGGAATGTCACACTGTTACTTTCACAGCTAACACTACGAAAGGCTGCTGAAATGTTCAAAGGAACTTTGGTACGATATTATTTTTCTCTTTGGGAAATGAAAGTTATCAATAAAGGTCTCATAAAAAGTAAGAAACTTTGACAACCTTGATTCTCTGCAGGCAGCAATTACATGCAAAATGTTGCCCTCAGTTTATATCCTTTAGCTGTTTTACATTTTTGACACTGGGAGGAGGGCATTTGTAGTCAAGTAGTTAGCATCAGATTATTGTTTAATGAAACCAGCTGCATGAGTGCAATGCTGTGACTGAGACTTTTTAATGTGTAAGCAAGTTGGTGAACGCAGAACCATGGTTTCTGCAGCAGCCACGATTTGCACCCCATGTGTTATGGACTATCTGACAGTATTATAGACAAGGAACCATCTTTCTGTGTGCCAGAAGAGAGAAACCAGTCACTGTACTGAAGGCCAACTGAAATTTTAGGTGCCTCAAAAGACACATTAAATTCCAACTTTGTGGATTTATTACCATATATTAAACTGATGTAGCCATTTTTATCTGAACTTAGTTTCTTCCTAATTTTTATATACTTGTGCAACAAAGGGAAGTCATCATGACTGTTTCATACACCTTCCCCATCGCACATTTTAGTTCTATGCCATGACATCCCATTAAATGTAGTTACCAGGATGGAATTTTCTTTGGTTTTAGTTCTAAAGTGCATGTGGGAGGTGGAAAGAGAACCCTCTGACTGCACTAGTTCATTGTGTGAACCAGGCAGTAAATACAGATGTGGAACTCCATATTCATGCCTCAGCATGGGTATCTCTTCAGTGTCACACCTGCAGGTATTTATATGATGACACACTGAAATAAATGCAGCGCGTGTGGGTGTGTAGAGCTGCACCTGTACATATAATGAGACACTCAAAGAAATACACTAAGTTTTGTTGCAATCCCACTTGAGAACATTCTTGTCCAGTTTGTCCTGCATGTTCTGTAGCTTATTCCTGCTGCTGAATCTTTCTCTAGTCTGGGCTGGACAGCCCTATATACCCATGTGACTCTCTTATTCCAGGGAAAAAACCCTACTACTTTGCCACTTCCTCATTGCTTTCATTCAAAAGACCAAATCCTGTGAACCATCTGCCTGCCTGACTTCTGCTGAGCTTGAAGTAGTTGGAACTGAAACTGGGCAGAGAAGGCAATTTCCACACCCTTTGGGTCCGCTTATTTGCCTGCTTCATAAAGATCATGTGTGCTTTCCTTGTAAGGCAGCTATTGACTGGCAAGTCTTGCTCTGGCACAGGCGTGTTACACATCCTGGGATTGGTTTTGAGAGTCCTGTTTCAGCCAGTGAAAGGACACAAACCTAAAACCTCATGGGTTTTATGCAATATAGAGCCTAGTATTTAGTATATTAAAAATACTATTACATCAAAGAGCACAAGAAACACAGACATTCTTCTCCACAATTTTCAGAGGAGGAAACTGAGCCAAGGTATCTGAGTAAATTGCCCAAGAAGCATCAATTAGGCTAAATCTTGGAACATCCCTACTTACCTGGAATCTCAAGCTGTGAAGTAATTTAAAGCTCCTTAAGACTGAACAAGTGCCTGCCAGAATGGGTTGACATTTCATCATCAGTGGTAACTTAGACTACAAGAGAAAACATGAAGAAAATGAAATTACTATTGCTGTGCAAAAGTTCTGAAACCACTGGACAGTGACTTAGAAACATTTGGACTTCGTGTTGTGATTCCACTCCACCACAAAGAAACAAAGTGTGGGTATCTGTACACGTTTTAAGGAAATGGGAATAAGAAATATAAGTTACTCCTTAACACCTCACAAGCAGACTCGGCATTCCTTAATCTTAATGGCTAGTGTAGGAGAAAGTACAGCCTAGTCTTTAGACTAAAGGACTGTGAGCAAAGGAACAAATTCCACTCTGATTTTTTTTCTCATAACTGGCTAAATCAATCAATCAATCAATAAATCAATCATTCCATGCCTTAGTTAACACATTTATATCACAGATAATATCTCAAAATATTTCCTTTTACCAAAGCAGAGGTCCTTTCTTTGCCCAGTCACAGATTCTGTTTCCTCTTTCCACAGATCCCACAGATGCTTTGGCAAAAAAGAGATCTGTTTTATGACATTTGACCTTGAGATCAGCTCAGTTGGTTAGAGCATGGTGCTAATGACACCAAGGTTGTGGGTTTGATCCCTGTAGGAGCCATTCAAAGAGTAGGACTCAAAGATCCTTGTGGGTCCCTTCCAACTCAGAATATTCTGTGATTATCTGTGATTTACTGTGTTTGTTTTGCTGACATCACAGAGTCAACGAGAACAAGTATTTATACTTCTATTATGCCTTCATTGAACTGAACAAGGTGTTCAACAGGACATTTTAATTATAATCCCACTTCTAACAGCATGAGTAAAGGTGTTTAAAAAACACAATCAAGCATGAAATAGAACAGTAAACATGCCATTTCAATTACAAAATTATGTATAAGCACATCCTTGCACAGCACAACATTTGAAGACTGCAAGAGATGCTAAAATCCTTGCTGAAACCCTGTGAGGTTTTGTGCACAGCATTGAAGGAGCCAAAATGCTCTTTCCTCACACTCTTTTGTGCACTTATACTGAATTTTTGACTCCAGAGAGAAACTCATGAAGTCTCAAACTGACAATTTTTACACAGATTTCCATGGAGAAAAAGTAGCCTTGAGCCTTTTTTTTTTTTTTTTTTTTTGGCATTGCAGTGTCACATCAGACACTTGTTCTGTTTGTGGAGCTCTTTTTCACTTCTCAGCCTGACAGTGCTGAAATTGAAAAGCAAATCATAGAATCATAGAATATGCTGAGTTAGAACAGACCATGAAGATCATCATGTCCAGCTTCTGGACAGTGTCATCATGTCCAACTTCTTTCTACACAGGACACCCCAAGAATCACACTATGTGCCTGAGAGTGTTGTCTGAACACTTCTTGAACACTGACAGGCTTGGTCCAATGTCCTGGCAAATCCTTGTATGGTTATCCAGCCCATCTACCTGTACCAGTGAAGTACTCTCCAGCAGGAACGTAACAGAGAAAATACTGTTCCATGTTTATAGACACGTATAGACCTACCAGAAACTCCTGGATATCTGTGGCCCCTCTGGGCACAGCAGGATACTGGGCTGCCCTGTAAAGCACTGTAATTCCCCCAGGCTGACAGGAGGGAGAATTTCATCTCTCACTCAACACTGCTATACTGTGGACTTGACCTAGTCCTTGGTTCAAGGAACTGATGCAATACATTGTTTTACAGTGGACATTTGGGGAACTTCCAAAGGTGCACCCTGGAAACATCAGGGAAGCTGCCTTCCTGTTATGAAGACACTCACTCCAGGAGCTTTGAGTAAATGAGGCCTCAGTTTGGCAAAATCCACCCTCTATCTCTCTCCAGTGAATCAACACACACTGCTTAGAAGAATACAACCAGGTTGTCACAGAACTGTGACAATCGTGACAGGCTGCTGTAACTCAGGTCTTTACAGCATCGGAAGCAAAAGGGAACATTGGTGTTTCCAGTGGTTAAGGCTGGGGCCAGGACAGGGAGGCCTGTTCTGTCTGTGTGGAGGCAAGTGTGCAGGGAAAGGGCTGCTGAGGGAGGAAGCTGATGGTCAGGGGCAGATTTGCCAGCTTTCTGCAACTGGATGAGATTGTGGACACTGCTAGGTGCGACTTTCCCCTGTTGTTCAGGCAAACTCCTCTCTCCAAACTAGCAGCACAATGCCCTCCTGCTTTCTCCAGCACTCTGGAAGCACAGACAAAGCCACAATCACTTTGCTGCCCTGAATAGTTGCCCGCTTGGCCAATGTGTAGAGCCAGCTCTGATGGCACCTATCAGAAAGACATGGGCACAGTGCTGTCCAAACCTTTTCTTTTCTGCACATCATCCCAGTGCTCAGGAGCAGTTGGCAATGTGGTGAATATTCATGCTAAAGCATGGCCAAACCATCCCAGCCTATCCTCTGCAGTTTCTCCACACAGCCCCATTGAGGAGAAAATTGGAACAACTTGCCTTTCTGCCATGCAGATTAGTCTTGAACCAATGCTGTATGCATTAAGCTCCTAAGGACATCTGGAAATCATAATGTGAAATCTGGTGCTCTCTCATGATCTGGACTATTATCTTTTCCACAAACTGTACTGTTCTGTTTAATAGACTATGTTATTGTCCATGGTATTGAGTTGTCTTCTAGAAAATCTGACCTAGAAATTACTCTGTTGTTGTGATTTGAAATTATTAACTTTCACAAGAATGTTATGGTCATGATGAACCTTAGATGAACCTGTAAATACAATGGATAATTAGGTGAGGCATATAACAATCAATATTTAATAATATGACAAACACATAGATAAATGCATTTAATTGACAGGAAACTACAGGGGCATCTGTAGGTATTTAATAGCACAGACAGCATTAAAAGTTTGACTGCCATCCCATTTTTGAAATACAATTTGTTATTCTTTCACTAGCCTTTCAGAGTTGAAGGAAGAACTTGGCATATTTTTTCCGCTTCTGGAAGAACCTGTCTTTCTCAAAATGCCAGAGCGCCTCATTAGTGGAAGCCTTGGTGAGCTTGTAGGTAGCTGGCAGAGGTGTTTTGTTGTGCTTGTTTCCACTTCATTTTTCCCTGCTATTATATGAGTAAGTAGAAGTAAAAGCATAGTTTTCATTGCCTTTAATGGGAGCAGAATCTGCTTTTACTTCATAGCTATTTTCTATTCTTCTCCTGGCACTACACAGAAATGCATGTGAGGTGAGACACGGTGGTGAGATGACTTGGCGGTGAGGGTTCCAAAAGCCAACACTAAATGCAGATAACATATTTTTTACTAGTTATGCACATTTACGGGCCCTGACAGAAATTTAAGAGAGACCCTATATGGAGAAGTCATTAACTGAGATTTAAATTTGTGAAATACAGGAAATATGGGAAAACTTAAAATTTAAGACTCACATTTAACGTCTCTCTACTTAAAGCAAATCAGCAAATGGGGCAAGGCTGTGAAGTTCATTAATACCATAGGAAATGAACATGAGACCTACCTGATTCCTGCATCTTCTCCCTGAATGTACCAGTTTTGTTAGAGGAAAGTTGTGTCGCTTCTTCTTTCTTTTGGAATTGCTAGAGCCAGTTCAGGTCCTTCCCAGCTTCTGGATAAATTGGGTTCCAACCTCTACATTTGAACAGATACATAGAAGGTTTTACACCAGTTTCTCACCACCAGATATAACTCAGAGCATAATTATAAATTTGGATCATAAGTTTGTCCTGAGTAGTTATGAGAGGTAACTATGCATGGTAAGTAAAACATCTCATCGATGAAGAGAATATAATTTTCAGGGTCAGTTTTAGAAAGTCACATGTTTTTATCTATACACTCAACACAGAAACAAGCACAGAGCTTGGCATTTGAAAGGTCAGATTTTAAATTGAAGCCATTGTTTAAACATCTTCCTCTGCAATGCGAAGCAGAAACAGCCTAGGTGAAGCAATCTAAGTCTTCCCTGCTTCCTGTCTGGCTCTCTTGTGCACAAGGAAGGTTGATTCTAGAGCAGTCTCAGGGCTGGTCTACCAGTAGGTGTTTGTTTCTCTTCCCCAGGCACCAGTATGCCCAGGGGATGAAACCTGTGCAGGATGACTTCCTGACCATAGCTGATGGGCACGGCCTCTGCAGCCACCAGCTGGGACATGGGGTGCTGTTTCATGGCTGGGCACCTGGAGCACCAGCCAAGCATACAGATGGGGAAGGGTGGAGAATGGTGACACCAGCTCATCAGCAGCCCCAAGGGTTGTCAAGACCTTGTGGGCACAAAGGCAAAGGAGAGTGGAAAGGAGTTAGCTGAGAGATGATACAACTCCTTTGCAGGGCACAGCCACAATGGGAGCTGTAATCACAGAGGAAACAGAGTGTCTGTCTGAAACACTATTTCTGCTTTTTTTGGGTAAATATAGGAACTATGACTTCATGTCTAACACTTCCAGAGACGTACTCTCAGGCTTGTTTTCTTCCTTATCAGGGCTCTAAGAAACCCAAAACGTGTCTCTTTATTTCAGTTCTGGCTGGAGGTTAATCTCTAGAAACAAGTAATGTAACATTTCCATCTATCTTTTCTACTCTTTTGGCAGTTTTAATTATACTAATATGCTATGACAATTTAAACAAGACACATCTCAGCTCCTGGCCTGCTCTGTAATGGTTCAGCTGCTACATGTGCTCCAGCATATTTTGCTCAGACAGGCTGCTGCTGGAGGCAAGGGGGAGGCAGAATAGTGCCCTTCTGTCATGAGAGGTTTCATTGCACTGATCATTGTATGTTTGACAGATTCTTTGTCAATGTCAAGTGTCTTTTGTGGTTAAGCCCAGTAAAGCTAAAACAAAAGGTCTCCTAGATATTAGATATATTGTGACATTACTGAATTCACTTGGAGGCAGTAATTTTTTGTCAGCCTATGAAAAGAAAAATGGAGCTAATGGGAAAACAAAAGGAAGATGCTGGCATGCCTTTTTAGCTATTTTTGTTTATGTCAGACATTGTGATTGACATCTGGCCCAGAACACCCCTTCAACCATTGAGCCTGGTGTCATGAAACAGAACAAAGAGAAATTGCCAGCCAAGAAAACACCACTGGCTCAGAAAGCACTGCTTTTTGTTTATTTTCTTTTAAGTGTTTCATTTTCAGTAATCAGTATTGTTACACAAAAGTGGTTCACTCACATGCACCCCCCACTTACTAATTGGACTTTTAAGTTTCCTTGTGTTTGCTTTCTTCCTGCTTGCTTGAATGGCACCAGAGTGCTGGTTTGGTTGGATGACAGTCTGTCATAACAGTGATGTTTGAGGTTAGTGAAAACTGACGTGAAAAATACAATCCACTGGCCTTTAACCGAAATAGCAGCTCTGGTTTTTGTGGAGTTGGCAGGCAGCATTTTTAAACCCCTTTCATGGTGAAGGCAGTTACAACATGTTTTTCTCTGTATCAAGCAGTTCCATCATGAAGTACATTATCTACGTCTGTTGTCATATCAGGATATTGCCTCTGAAGAGCAGTTTGCTGTTTCTTATGTGGGCACTGCTCTTTTGAAGTGTCCTGAAAGTGTTAAGGTAATTTTGTGGTCAGTCTCCAGGACCAAGCCAAATATAACGCTTTAGAATTTACTGAAGAGTGATTTTAGGGAAATATCAGACCAGAATAGGTCCCACAGACACCCAACACTAAGAGTTCTTTGTCACCACCGTTCTGCAAGTGTTGTAAAATTTCAGAGACTTGGTCACAATTATGTATCAGCAGGACAAAATTATTCCTTAAATTTCTAACTTCATCTTGAAAGTATGGTGCTTAACATAATAACAAAATAAGACTTTTCACAAGATGAGAGTAAGACAGTCCATCAGCCACTTCCTTCCATACATTTATATGCTGAAATCATATCAGAATGTTTGTCCTAACAAAAAAAGCCTTAATCACTAAAAAAAATTCTATGGAAGTTGGCCATTGAATGCATCACATGTGCCAGAGTTAAACATGCTTGCACTGTTTTAACAGGGTACCTTTCAGTATAGAACACTGGGGTGTATTCTCCTGTAGAAGCAGACACTTAACTCCCCTCAACATTAATAGCAGGTATGTTCACACATAGAGTGGAGAATTTCTTTCTGTTTCTTTGCACAGTGCTCTAAAAAGAACTTTGAAGAAATTGAGAAAAACAGAGAGCGCAGTATATTAATTTTAAGGAGATGAAAGCAGTACATGTCATTCCTAAATTTCATGGAAAATGCACCGTTAGTAACAAAGATGAGTAGAAAATTTCAAAATCATTCTGAGCAGCATTAAAATCAGTCTTCCCTGATTTTCTGTTTTCCCCTTCTTTTCAAAGCACATACATTAAACTCATTTTATGCTTATAATGTATATAATGATTCTAGACAACATAAGAAGGACACTGGGATTCTTCCTATTTCAACGTATAAAGTGGCAAGCCAATTTATGCAGCTTAAACCATTGCTAAAGAAGATGTATCAAAAATTGCCTGTGATCATTACAAATAACAGCCTGAAATGTTCACAAGAAGCTGTTTGCTTATCATATTTTCATTAAAACATCTTTTCACCTGCTTTGCTTTTCCCATGCCTGTAACCTGCATTGTAATCAGTCTTATTAACTGAGAACATAAATATGATTTATTATGGTCTGATAATGGAAGCTGCATGGACCAAGAGAAGGGATATATTGTCCTTTGATAAAATGGCTCTTTTCTCTCAAATAGAGCTCTATCATGAGAGCACGCAGAATGTAGTGAGTGATTATTTCCTGAGGGTGAATGATGGCAGAACCCTACAGAAAATCTTCTTGTTGGCCATGACAGCCTCTGAGTGTCCCCAAATCTCACTGAGTTTGACAACCTGCAGACACTTTTGATGAACTGTATTCTTCTGTCAGAGACAGCCTGTCTGGGAGGAGAAAAGGGAACCTTTATCGTCTGATCTGCTATTATTGTCTTGATCTTTTATAAGCAATCTCTAATGCACATGAATATAATATCCTTTCACAGAAGTGCCAAACATAATAGAAATGTAGTTAAAGGACCCTTTTCCCAGTTATGTAAATGTCCTAATACCATAATTAGAAAAGATGGTTTGTGAATGATAGCGGTAAGGAAAGGGTAATCAAAATATTTTAACATTATCTTTCTGTTTTAAAGACCAAAATCTGTGATAAATAGCATTTATGGTAGATATGGGGAACCAGCTTGTGCTGAAGCTTTTACCTAAAAAGAGAATAGTTTTGAGTGTAAAACTGGTGTTATATTTTCATAAAACACATAAATGGCAGCTGGTCTTAAGCCAGGAATGATTACTGGCAGATATGACTTAAAGAAAATGAGTATTCCACTCAAAATCCCTCCATGGCTGTTACAGAAAGAACAAAGCGTTATTATTAAGTAATGTACTTGGACAAAGGGGTGTTCAAGACCAACTAAGTTCGCCAGCAAATCTCTCTTTTATCTATGTCCAGAAGAACAAGCATAACAAAATCTTTTTCAATTAACAGCTGTACACATTAGCAAAACACCCGTATTTCTCAGCTCAAGCAATCTGGCTTATTTATCACAAAAAATGAAATGTTTGGGGGGGCAAGGTTTCCAAGTTGCCCAGTAAAAGCAAGATACTTGATTTTTCATTAACCTTTTGACATCTGGAGCTGGGATGTCCCAGTATTAACTACTAATGGTCTTTTGCATTACCAGTTGGTGTTGAGAGAAGTCCCAATTGTCAGAGTCAAAAGGTTAATCAGCAATTTCACACCAGTGATGTGGTCAGAGTTCGTATGTTACTGCCTAAACAGGAGGAAGAAGAAAATAAAGTCATTAACAGAAAACTACATCCCAACATTACTAAATCCCTCTTGGTTTTTTGTTTGTTTGTTTTCTAGAAAATATCTCATGATCTATTTACTAAAACTCCTGACTTTTTAGAGGACTTTGCAAACCTTTGCTGAGAAGTATGGGTCGAAATACGTGACCGACTTGTTTGGTTTATTCTACTTTTCATAGGAAAAAAAGTAAAGTTTTACTTAACCACCAAGCGTTCAGTCCAGGGCAGTGAGGGAAAAAGTCTCTGTCTGTTACCTATGGAGATTTTTAAAAACCTATCCAAATGGGCCTAATTCAGTCTGAGAGTTGTGTCCTGTCTGCTGGAAGTGAAGACACTGGAATGTCCCTTCATTAAGAATGAATTTCATGGTGCAAACATACTTTATCAGAGATAAAGGACATCCAAGAGCAAAAACCTGAGTGTAGACTTTCCCCTCCCACCCCTCTTTCTGTCTTGATTGCAGAAAATAAGTCAACAGCAGCATTCCCTTAACAAATATAGACAGCAATCTTATTTCATGTGAAAGTACCCTCATAAACAGCCATGCCAGTACCTCAGCTGGTACTATTCGACCAGAAATAGCCATAGCATATTTTAACTTGGGGCCCAAGAGATCTCCTATCCATAGCAAAACCAGATTTATTTTCCAAAACAAAGTATAAAATATTGCTGACAACATTACAGTTTGGCATTTGCTAACAATAACAATGCTAGCACAAAATGACTTCTCATTTGCCCTGGTAATATCTGAAATTGTTAACCATTGTTTGTCTTTTGCTTAGCCCTGATCAAAAACCTT